AGCAGCCCCCTTCCCCCAAATATGCTTAATCCTGTAATAAAGTAGTGTAGGTGGTTGTTTTCTCTTTGAATATGTCGGATCAACACCTCAAAGATTTCCTGATTGCATGAAAAGACTCTCAGGCATGTCAGTAAATAAAAGATCGGACAATACGGCGAACGTCTATCCGAAGAGGGGCAGCAACTTGCGAGGCATCTAGAAAAAGGGGCAGCTAAACAGGCTAAAAAGACTCCAACACTCTCACCACAATTATCACTCATCAGTGTTGAGATCTAAAGCACACAAACAAACTGCAACCTCTTACACTGCTCTCTTTCTCACAGACATCTCAAGATGCAGAACAGAATAGGGTTCTTTACTGTTTTACAGAAGAATGCTTAGAATACCTTGGACAGCCAAAAAGAGCAACCAAGAGGTTTTGAAAGAGGCGAGAGCCCTAAGACAACTTATCACAGACATCAGACGAGACAGTCATCAATTTTCGGCCATGTTATGAGAAGAGGGAAAATAGAACATGTTGTGACCACTGGAAAGATCTGTGGAAGGAGGGATAGAAGAAGACAACAAGAGAAGATGCTTGGCATGGAGGTGTGTCGGCACACGAACTGATACATGCAGGAGATCGCAGATTATGGAGAAGCACGATCGCCCACGCCAGTCGACAAGGCACCTGATGATGATGACTGCTGGTCCACCACATATTTCCCAGATTTACGGTATCTATCAAGAAATCAAGGCTGAAGGGTTGCCAAATCCATATACCGAGCCAAAGGGTTTACAACTCATGGTTTCTGGATTTAAAAAAAAACACAATAAAAAGTTTTTTTTTTAAATTTAAAAGAAAAGAACTCAGGTTATGGGACAATAACCATAATTCTGACGCATAGAAAGACACCTATAACAACCAAAGTAAGTCTTATAAGAACATTTTTGTGTGGGGGGGGGGGGAGGGTGGGGCGACGTTATGCCACCAGTGCCAAACATGGACTCTTACTACAACTAACGAGTGGAAGATCATAACAACAGAGATGAGATGTCTTAGGAGAGCTGCCTGTGTGACAAGAAGAGATAAAATCAAGAATAAAGAAATTAGAAGGACTGAAACCAGTCATACAATTCATTAAAGAACAACTAATGAGATGGCTTGGCCACCTGACGAGAATGCCCTGGTACCAACTGCCACAGAGAGCCACGCTGAAGAAATACAATGAACACAGAGCAAGGGGAAGACTACGCCAGAGATGGAGCGACATCATCAAAAGCAACCTAACAGAAATGAATATCAGCTAGTACAATGCATTGGGAACAAGTGCACAAATGATCCTTACACCCCCACCCCCCTCTTTGATGAGGTAAATGGTAGAAGAAGAAAAGAACCAACTATGGAATCTCTGAATCCCCGGTGTGGGTTCCGGGGCCCCATTGTGGGGAAAACAATAATAGACCCCCTGCCTCCCCAAAAGCATGTCGTAAGAGTCAACTAATTGGGGAGCTTCCTTGGAAGTCGGAGTCATCTGCCGGAGAGGCAAGGAACCAACAGTCTGTATTCAAGAGAATGAGATCTGTAAAACTGATGCACACGCAACACTCAGGTTCTGGAGCAGGACTGCAGTTCAGTAGTGGACGAGCAACCAGAACTTTCCACCAGAGTGTATAGCTGGTGAACGCAAAGAAGAAGAAGAAGAAGAATCTCTGAATGCTTCATTAAGCATATGATCAAAGTTCTCTCACTATCATACAGCAACACACTAAATAATAATTATAACTAGAAAAACACACATAACACCCACATGGAAAACTGATGATCCTTCCACATGTGTTAATTTTCTCTTGTGTGTGTGTGTGTTGTTTGTGATCTTTACTGAACAAAGAATGGTGAAAATATCCAGCTTATATCTGAGTACTTTTTCTTGTGCACTCACCCTAAAAGTCTAGTTGTGATTTGATGTGGTTGAGTATTTTGGAGGAAATAGAACAGACCCTGTTCCTTTACAAGCATTTTGTAAAATGCTACTAATTAGGGATTCACTGAAATCGGATGTTTTGGACCAAAAGACGCAGCTATCACAGACTAGCCATAAACCACAACACAACTTTCTAATACCTTTTTAAGAGTGAGTACAGGAGAAGACAGCTGTGTTTTCATGAAGTCTGCTTAAAGATGGGGAGAATAAAATAAGTCTAACTTGCCAAGTGAGAACTTTCTAGAAAACAAAACATCAACCTTGTACTTCATAAATATTAAAATATAAAGACAAACATCCCTGAAACGAACATCATGGCTTGGTACTCACTCATGCATTCTCACACAAACATGAAGCTGTGAATATACAGGGATGTGGCTTTGTGGCATTTCTTTATCCATGGACTTAAACATGGTCGGCTGCTATCGTCATCATGGAGCAGGTTCTTTGCAGATTGCTGCTCTCATCACAGGCTGCCTGACAGAAACTCAGTCTCTCACCAGCTCTCCTGCCTCGTGAACTTTCCTACCCAGGGTGTCACCTGTATCCTGTACTCATCTTTATCATTGTCAGCCCCTGCTCCTCCTGCCCTCTGCCATTATTTTGTCCACTCTGACATGTTGTTTGATATGGCCAAAATATTTCAGTTTCCGAGACAAGATTCTGTTTACTAGCCAATCTTCCTTGATGTTTTAAGATGTCAGTATTTCTTTTCTTCTTTGTCCATTGTATTTTGAATAGCATTTCATCTCAACAGAAAACACAATATCAATCTTGCACTCCATAATTATTATAATATTAAATACAAACATCCCAGAAAAGAACATCATGACTTGGTGCTCAGGCATTCTCACACAAATATGAAGATGTGAATATACATGACCAATCGCATACTGAGAAAGCTCAGAAGAAAATCTAATGACTTTTTTCAAATTTGTTCCAAGCAACTGTCACATAAACGAGGCCACCAGTTAGTAGTTTCCAATATGATTCCAGTTTATCAATATTTGTTAAAATCTAGCAGCATTTCGTCAACAGTCTTTTTAAGTATCACCTCTATCTTCCTGTGCGGGTTCCAGGGTCCCATTGTGGGGGGAAACAAGATTAGACCCATGGCCTCCCCAAAAAACATGTTGCAGGAGTCAACTAACTGGCGCCCTCCATTTAAGTTAGAGTGCATTTGCTTTAGTGGCAAGGAACAACCAACTGCACACACATAAGCCAGTAAAATGGATGTATATGCAAAACTCAGGCCCTGGCACAAAGCCCAAATGACGAACAACTGAAACTTAACATCAGAGCTTACAATCAGTGAACACTGAAGAAGAAGATGATCACCTCTATCATTATCATCCTGTCACATGTCACACAGGATTCACAGTCTATTCATCCCTTCGATTCTGCGCTGTGCATTCCTTTGGAAACCATGGATGGAATTATGTTCAACATCACTGGATTTTCTCATTAATGTTTGTTTTAGGTACTTTGTAATTGTTCAGTTTAACTTTCAAGCCAAAGTTGTGTATTATTTAAATTTATATTTAACAAAGTTTACAACGGAATCCCATAATGTTTCATTTAGCATGTGATCAAAGTTCTCTTAGAGTCATAAAGTACTAGATATATCTCTGTAAATGTTTCATTTAGTATATAGATTAAGTTCTCTTATTATCATAAAGCAAAGTTTTACACAATCACTGTGAATGTTTCATTTAGTTTATAGACTAAGTTCTCTTACTGTCATAAAGCAAAGTTCTAAATAATCTCTGTGAATATTTCATTTAGTACATGGTCTAAGTCAGGGCTTTTCAACTAAGATTACTCAGTAGCCAAAATTTAGAAAAATGAGGATCGTCACGGGCCAAAGGTCCCAGTCCAAGCACAGAAAGATCATTAGTACAATACAACTTGCAACGATCCGCGGGCCACTTTCTGTGCCAGACATGGCCCGTGGGCTACCAGGTGAATAGCCCTGGTCTAAGTTTTCAAGTATTAATGAACAACTTATTACATTAATGACTCTCTGTAACTGCCATTCAAGCATACAAGACCAAAAATACATTCTGTGGCAACATCACAATGATGACTGGCTATAATGTACCCACTGCTTCTTTGGGTATATTACCTGGTAAGGTCCCAGTCTCTTACATGGTGTGACTCTCATACCACTATCTAGAAACAGAATTCTTTATTTTTTTTAAATTGTTTACAATGGAAATCAGACCCTAGTATTCAAGGACGGTGAATCAATAAATTAATCAAGAATTGACATCACTGCACCTTCTCACATGTGCTCCAGCCCCTTCTTCAGTGACCAATGAAGAGATGACATGCTAATAGAACCAGTTGCGACCTGAAATCCACCTGTGTTTTCCTCTCAATGCTGAATATCTTTCAGAACATCTACCCCCCCCCCCCCCCGCGTTGAATTAGTTTGTCAAAGTATGGATTCTGTCTCTTCAACTGCACTGTCGGTTGGATCCTAGAGAGCCTTTACCACGTCCGCATCATCCTAAAGTAGCTCACCACCCAGAGGAGCCACAGCAGCTAATCTAACAGCCTGCTCATTACCTGGCATACCTGAATGTCCTGGGCACTTAGGGACGTTGAAACTCTCAAATGTATTCACTAATCACAGAGCCACTCATACGAGACACAATTCTCAATACATCATCTGATACATATATCAACACTAATTCTACACATCCCCAAAAATATTCCAGGCTGGAATGAAGCAAATTTGAAAAAAAAAAAAGGAACAAAACATATCTTCAAGTATTATTTCACACGCAAACAGCACCATATACACTTGTGGTTCCTGGCAATGCTTTCGCTACAGTTGAAACTCATGCACTTGTATTTCAGCAAGCTACTAGCTCCAGTCCCCTGCATGAGGACCTTGCTGCATTCTCCAAACAACAATGAACAGGGAATGAGCCTGGCCAGGCTTGCACCAATGCCAAACAAATAAACTGCACCCCAAATCACACTATCCTCTCAAAACACATCTACATTCACATCCTAGCATCTTCACTATCAAAGTTCATCATCCGGTCTTTTGAACGCTGGAGGAGAGAAAAATTGAAACCATCATTAGTGATACAAGTTGATATATTTTTTTCATGACACAAGTTATAGTGCCCCAATTATGGTAGGGCTATTCAAGTAAGAACACATAGGGGGCGACAATTTTTAAATTGGAGATCACCACGGACCAGAGGTCTGAGCCCAAGCATAGAAAGATCATTAAAACAATATAACTGGCAATTCTTCTTCTTCTTCTTTCGTTCGCCTGAAAATTTTGTCTCTTGTATAAATTCCACTGTCGTTGTTAGTTCATTCAGTGGTCCATAGAGTTTACCTTCCACTGTTGTTCTTTCTGGTCAAAAGATTTGCCTTAATGTGTCAAATTTGGTGCAGTCCTGGAGTACATGCTCTGATGTCTGGAGCACCTTTCCACAGGTGCACATGGCTGATACGCCTATCTTGAATTTTTGTGTACATGTGGTTACATAATCGGTTATGCCCTGTTCTGAGATGGTCGATAATGACTTGTTCTGATCTGCCTATAATAAAATATATATACACGCCATGAAAATAACTGGCAATAATTCTTTAGCCACTTGCTAGGTCTCCACGGGCCAGAGTGACATGAGGGCCGCTATCTGAACAGCTCTGATTTAAGGTGACACATAATTTTACTTATGGTACACATTTACTGCATCATTTCAAGGCAAGATAGGATTTAATTTATGAAATACATTATACTGCACATTTAGGGTTACACAGAATTTCATTGATGATACAAATTATACTGCATCATTCATGGTGTCATAGTGGAGCTCTTCCTGGAGGAGTGGTTCTTCTGCTTCCTGCTTCGCGTTCACCAGCTGTAGACTCCAGTACCAAGTTTTACTTCTTCATTCAATGCTGACAATTTAGTTTTATTCCAGAACTTGAGTTTTGAATGCACATCTGTTTCTTGGATGCACATCTGTTTCTTGAATGTACCATTTGGCTCACCCGGACCATTTTTCTAGAGATCCCTGGAGTCACTGCCGGAGCTAGAAAGTTTGTGCTTTGTTCTACGCTCTCTGCACACATTCTCTATAATTCTGCAGATGAAGACTAAGCTATACAGGATAAAACCTGGTGCAATGATGATCTTCTCGCCTTCAAACATTTGCGGAATTCTTGATGATGAACCATGACTGACTACATTTATCATTATGATTCATAATGGTGTAAAGTTAAAGTACAGCCAAGATAGACCTTTATTGCACCGGGTTTTATTCCATACTCAGCATCTCTTTGCAAATGGCTAACTGTCAGCCGAGAGTCATACAAAGCTCAAATTACGCAGCTCCAGTAATGTTCCCTATGGATCTCAATAAAAACTGCACCCATGCACCAAACGAGACTATCCATGAAACAAACCCATGACCTGCGCAGCACAAGGCACAGGGCTCGACCACTTCACCACAGAGATCCTCAAATCATAACAGTGATGACAGTTTGCTCGTTCGGGACCAGAAGGTTTCACAAAAGACATAAAAAGAAGATAAAAACCTCAATGAAATATTGTGAATTTACTCTTAAAATAGCAATTTACCCTTCGGTAGTGACTATCTGGGGAGGTATGGTTTCTTTTGGATGTCCTAACCAAATATCAAAAAGAAAGAGGACACATTATGCCACAAAGAGAAACCAAGGAGTAGATTTATTAACATATCAGGTGATGCCTGGTACTGAAAGAGTTAAACTAAACTTAGCCTGATATCTGAAACAATAAGCTCTCTCTTCAAAGATAAAAGTATTGTAGAAATAGAGTATATTTCCCGTAGATTTATTACAAATACAAAAGTTTGCTGTGGTTAGAAATGCAGATGTAATTCGAACACATTCAGTTGTGTGTATTTAATATTTAGCTGCTGTTGATCAGTGTTTACTATTACTTGTTTATAGATGTATGAATGAAAAGATGTCAGAAATGAAAGAGACTATAAGGGCAGAAAGTCAGACAATAGACCGGCCTGTAAGTCTAATTCTTAACCATCTAAAAATTAAGTTTGTTCGTTCGTCCACAAAGAGGTGAAGAGTCTAAAATAATAAAAATAAGCAAGGTCTGTAAAATGGATGAACACGCAAAACTCAGGTCCTGGAACAAAGCCAAAGTCCAGGAATCAATGAAAAACCTGGTCTTTCCGCCGGAGTGTACAGCCAGTAAACACAAACAATTGTCAATGGTCAATATAGCCAGTAGTGCAAGAACCACAACTTGTAAATCATATGTGACACAGGAAGCAGTCAAACAGGAAGGGAAAAAAGAAGAAATATCTGATAATAAAGCCTGTAGAGAATAACCAGAAAATCACAGGAGAACAAAGAGGTTAATTTTAAATTATAAGCTCTTTAAATATTATGGGTTCGGGGTTGCTGAGCCTTCAGAAAGAAATGACAAACTAGTGAACAGAAAACTGCTTAGTAAAACCAAACAGTCAACAGGGTTTGTCTGCAATGGCTATATAAGTAACTGTTTTCTTTAAATACATCAACACTAAGCTCCACAAATCACCCATAACATAATTTCTAGGTAACTGCATAAAGTAATTAAACACACCCAATGCCATACCTGGTTTTCTGAAATCCTTTGGAGGCTCATATTCCACTTGTGCTCTTGTATTGGTACCATACACTTCATCCCATAAAATTTTAATCTCATAATCATAATCCTTCCATTCGGGGACTATTCTCATGGCAGCTTGAAGCTTAGGCTCTTTAGTTAAAGGATTGTTGCACTGAAATTAACAGAACATGTCAATAACTTCAAAATGCAGTGGGGTATGCGACATCATCAAGTCATATTTCAAATGTGGGATATGGCATTACAAATTCTAATTGTAGGGCTGGCTATTTCATCCTGTAAAAACACAAAAACCAACCAAAAATGGGAAAGTCAAAAAGAGAAAGAAGAAAAACCCAGGTTGTAGGGCTGGCTATTTCATCCTGTGAAAACACAAAAACCAACCCAAAATGGGAAAGTCAAAAAGAGAAAGAAGAAAAACCCAGGTTGTAGGGCTGGCTATTTCATCCTGTGAAAACACAAAAACCAACCCAAAATGGGAAAGTCAAAAAGAGAAAGAAGAAAAACCCAGGTTGAGGGCCTATGCTCCATCGGGGTAATAAAGGGTAGGAGAAGAAAAGATTCTCTGACAGTTTCTGGCTACTGACAGATTTCTATTAGCTAGATGGTTTTCATATAGTTTGATAACCTGGAGAGAATGATAGAGCAGACAGCATCAGCAGCCTCTGGGTGCTACTCAAGACTTAGGGCAAAAGTAAGACCAGTAGCTAACCAGATGACAACGAGTACCACCAGTATGAAGACTCTTCCCTCTCTAAGAGAGACAGAGCTAAAATGAGCCTCTCCTGAATGCTGCGATGTCAAATCTTCCCCCCCCCCCCCCCCCCCCCCCCCCCCCCCCCCCAGATATTTCAGTTGGTAACAATTTCTATTCTGCACAGATTCTATATCTTCTGCAAAATTGTGTTTGAACCCAACAATTTACAAGCTAAAACTGCACACATTACCTTCTTTAGCCACATCTACATTCCACATAAAGAATACACTATATATGTTTGTGAACAATGTTAACAACAGACATTCAACTCATAAATACACCACCATCAACAAGAAACACTTTAAAACACAAACCACAATCCTACATCTTACAAGAAAAAGACCATTGTAATCAAAAAGAAAGCGGGAGCAGCAGCAGCAATAAACTCCATTACAAAACTCAATGGTTTGGCCATTTAGCTCTGCTGCCAACAGACAGTATACCACAATGATATATATATATATATATATATATATATTTATACCAAATTCCAAAAGTTTAGACCATGTAAACGACACACAAAAAAGAACAGTCTCTGAAAACCTGCACAGATGAAACACCTCAATGCCACAAGCTTGAAGAGGAACAAAGTGAGATGACAGGACAAATTTCACTATCACAACAAGAAACATACTTCTTTTATTATTTTTTTTCTCATATCAATTTCTGTTTTGTACCACTAAGCATCACAGTTTAGCACAGTGGTTCTCAACCTATGGGTCGTGACCCCTTAGGGGGTCAACTGACCTTTTCACAGGGGTCACCTGAGACCATCGAATGCCCGGCTCTCTAGCGAAGTTGGTTAAACCTGACTTTCGCGGCGGCCGGGTGACGAACTCCTTGTGGTCCGGGTTCACTCCCGGGGGTAGGCAGAAAAGCCACATTTCTCCCAGATTAACGGTACCTATAATGGAATCAAGGCCGAAAGGTTGCGATATCCATAGTACCGAGCCAAAGGGTTTACAACTCATGGTTTCTGGATACGTAAAAAAAAAAAAAAAAAAAAAAAAAAAAAAAAGAGACCATCGAAAAACACATATTAACTGAAGCTATGAAGTGGTAACGAAAATAATTAGCTGGGGGTCACCACAACATGAGCAACTGTATTAAAGGGTCGTGGGATTAGGAAGACTGAGAACCACTGGTTTAGCAGAAGAGAGCTAGCCAAGCAAGGGCATGCTCAGTTTCTTGGTATGTTGTGAAGTCAGTGACTATTTTGATTCAGTCTTCTAGGTCAGGGGTTCTCAATCTGGGCGTTGGGAGCGTACACCAGGGGTGCTTCAAGCGCACGCCAGGGGTGCTGTGAGCGCACGCCAGGGGTGCTGCGAGCGTATGCCAGGGGTGCTGCGAGCGTATGCCAGGGGTGCTGTGAGCGTATACCATGGGTGCTGCCAGTGTATGCCAGGGGTGCCGCGAGCGTATGCCAGGGGTCCTGCAGCAATAATCACAGAATTTTACCAAATCTGCTTGAGATCAGCGAAGACTGCAGTTTAAAACAGAACTACACTATCATGAAGAAAGCCAAGAAGAGATCTGAATGCAGATGTATTCACAAAATAGCAATGCTACTGGCAAGACTGCAGAGCATTATCAATGTAAACTTCCATAAAAGAAACAGATACAGGAGCAATCTTCAAGTGATTTGAGCATACAGTTAACTAAACTTTCCATAAACATAAAAGAAATAATAAAAATTTATTTCAACAGTTTCATTCATTGCACTAAAGACAACCTAACATCAAATTTGCAATGTATTGTCTTCTTTTCCTAAGTATTCAAACCGCTTTAAAGGTATGTGTGCTGCAAATTTGTTGCCCGATAAGGATGCCACGGAGAAAAAAAGTTTAGAGAAACGCTGTTCTAGGTCTCCCTCTGCATCTCATGTTTCTGTTTTCAGGTTGTTGGCTCTCGCTTCCGGCATCGCTGGATTATTTCTCACTAGTTGGCCAAGCCTTTTCATTTTTGAGTCTTTGTTTCTCACTTAATTTAACGATGTCTCTTCATTTCTCACACAGTTTCTTCTGATTCTGTTTGCAGCCTTTCTCACACGTCAAACATTTAACTGGGGGTTAGTTTTCTCTCATGCTATTGTGCTTTTTGGTTAATGTCAAGGTCTGACAATGATAACCTAAAGTTGGAAAACAGATTGCATTTATAATCTGTCTTGTTATCTCTGATGGAACAGCCAGGTGTTACAAGATTGTGGTCAGGTGTTACCAGATTGTGGTCAGGTGTTACCAGATTGTGGTCAGGTGTAACAAGATTGTGGTCAGGTGTAACAAGATTGTGGTCAGGTGTAACCAGATTGTGGTCAGGTGTAACCAGATTGTGGTCAGGTGTTACCAGATTGTGGTCAGGTGTAACAAGATTGTGGTCAGGTGTTACAAGATTGTGGTCAGTTCATATGCAATGCTGTTGGCTTGTTTCACATTCATCATCATCATCAATCAGCAGGTCATGTATACATGTCACTCTCTGTCTCAAGCCAATTCTCCAGCTTTCACAGCCAGTACATCTTCAATGTCATGCATCCACATTTGCAGATCTCGGCCTCTGCCTCATTTTCCAGAAACTGTACTCTCCACCACCAATCTCTCCAGGCCACATAACGTTTAACATGGCCAAAATACCTCAGCTTTTGAGACAGGATGCTGTTGATCAGCCAATTCTCCTCAATGCTCAGAGTGTATAGGATGTATTTTCACATACAACTATAAATAAATCCAATGGTACATACCAAATCTATAGTCTTAGCCCGGGATTTCTCAGATTCACTGCACCAGGTCTCGCAGTACAGCCACTCCTGGGGCAGCGACTTGATGGACACCTGATGGATCATGTTGTTGGGCAAGTCCTGGTCCAGATTGGCCAAACTGTTTGGATCCTGGCTCAATCCTTGGTACTGTCCACGCAGTCGGTCTCCCGCGGCAATGCGGCGGAACTTTTTCAGATCGACAACATACAAGGCACTGATGTGATATCTGCGACCTGCCAGGTGACTTCTCCAGTACCCAGAGTTCCAAAACCTGAAGAGGAAGAATTATAAATTGAATAATACGATAACATTAATAATTATTATTATAAACAACATAATAAATATAACATAATTTACACACAAAAACAGATAAGAACAGTTGTTCTATATGACTTTGAAACCTGGAAAACAACTAAAAAGATTTGAACTCCTTATGATGAATCTTTGGACCTACCAAACATGCAAACAGCAGAGAATGGACAGTGAGAAGAAACAAAGAAACTAGCAATCTTATTAAAGAACCATGAATTACTGGCACCATGAGGGTTAACAGACTGCAGTGGCTGGGACATACAGAAAGGTGTCGGATAACAGAGACAAAACCTGCATACACAAGGGTTGAATGGGGCTAGACTAGAAGTCAGACCAAAAAGACAGTGGAGAGATAATATACAGGCAGACCTATAAACACCTGCAGACACAAAATGGAAAGGGAAGGCCGACGATGACAGAGATGAATGGAGGCCTGTATATCTGAACCTCTGAAAAGAAGATAAAGCTACTATATGATAAAGTGGATGTGCTGAAGGTATTATGGGATCAAATGGACAGTGTAAAAAACAGTTAGGTAATTCATACACTGAAAGACTAATTCAACCTGGGGGGGAGTTGGGGGGGGGGGGGGGTAGAGGTTCTCTGAAAGATATTCAAAACTGAAGGGACAAACAGAGGTAGACTTTTCATCAGATTGCAGATAGTACTATTAGCGTGTCAACTCTTCAATGGTTACTGAAGAAGGGGACGGAGCACTTGAGGGAATGTCCCGAGTGCAATTCTTGATTCATTCTTTAATGCTGAAGAAGACTATAACCGATAAACTACACTTTGCAGACTATTTATTTAGCATGTGCTGCTTGCCCCATATATTTACAGATCAACTGGCACATGACGGCTGACATGATCAACCTTAAAAACTTGTCTTGGTGGCTTTTTGAGCCTGAGCCCATTGCGCCAGATGGAAAGCAAGCCAGTCACTGAGGCTCCCAAATATTTAAGGGAATAAAGTGATCATCATATTGATTCATATGGTTCTTGTTTTGTGTCACCAATAATGTTCAATAAGTTTCTCAGTTCTAGTCTTATTCTAGGAAGAGGAATTGCGACCTGAAATAAAATTATGGCAGGGCACACGGGGCACTTAGAGTTGGCAGCTGGTCCAGAAAGAAAGCTCCAATAGGCGGACAGAGCCCTGTTCTTCTTCACGTTCACCGGGTGTAAACTCCAGCGGAAAGATCAGGTTGTTTGTCCACTTCTGGACATTAGTCCTGTTCCAGAACTTGAGCTTCATGTGCTCATCTACTGTAAGCAGACTGCTGGTCCCTTACCTTTTATTCAGACGAACTCTGACTTTGAAGAAAACACCATAATTAGCCGACTTTTATGAGACAATTTTGGGGTGGGGGGTGGGGTGGTTGTGGGTCTATTCTTTTCTTCCCCAAAATGGGGCCCTGGAACCTACAAGGGGAACTGCTCTTCTGGTCCAGTAGCTACTGCAGTATGGTTTGTTCCAAAAGTACTGGTGTTACCTTTCCTCTGGAGTAAACAAGACAGGCAGAGAGAGGCATCATTGATTGTCCTTCCCTTTGCGTGGCCAAAACAGTCGTTTTAAATCTTTAATTATCATTATTCTGCCAGATTTTTCCCAGCACTTAATCTAAACCAAGAAGCAAACTGCACTAGAAATTGATACTGCCAGAGAAAATATCAGCAGCATTCCCATGAAACCTGTTCCAATGGCTTGATTAGAAAAGCATGGTCAATAACCTTTAAGAGAAACTGAATCACTGCTCTTTGAGCTTCTCTGGACGGATTCTGGATCCGAGCATTTTCTCAGTGTTCAGAAACAGAGCCTGTGCATCAGGGGATGATAAACACAGGTTCTTTTCTCCATTAGTCAGTACTTATCACATGACCATGACATCATGTTCAACACTTGCAATTATGTGATGCACAGCATGAATGGGTTTCAAATGAATGCTCCTTATAAAAAAAGATGTTGAGAACAAACCTAAATCCATCCATTTCCTTCCTGCTGTCACAAAATGGCGTATATCCGTAAGGTGCACCACCCAGATCCAGATCATACAGCTCCTGCAGATCTGCACGCACAATCTGCAGATTGACATCAGACAACATGTACATCAACACTGACATCAGACATGTACATCAACACTGACATCAGACAACATGTACATCAACACTGACATCAGACAACATGTACATCAACACTGACATCAGACAACACGTACATCAACACTGACATCAGACAACACGTACATCAACACTGACATCAGACAACATGTACATCAACACTGACATCAGACAACATGTACATCAACACTGACATCAGACAACACGTACATCAACACTGACATCAGACAACATGTACATCAACACTGACATCAGACAACACGTACATCAACACTGACATCAGACAACATGTACATCAACACTGACATCAGACAACATGTACATCAACACTGACATCAGACAACACGTACATCAACACTGACATCAGACAACATGTACATCAACACTGACATCAGACAACACGTACATCAACACTGAAATCAGACAACATGTACATCAACACTGACATCAGACAACATGTACATCAACAATGACATCAGTCAACACGTACATCAACACTGACATCAGACAACACGTACATCAACACTGACATCAGACAACATGTACATCAACACTGACATCAGACAACATGTACATCAACACTGACATCAGACAACACGTACATCAACACTGACATCAGACACGTACATCAACACTGACATCAGACAACATGTACATCAACACTGACATCAGACAACATGTACATCAACACTGACATCAGACAACACGTACATCAACACTGACATCAGACAACACGTACATCAACACTGACATCAGACAACACGTACATCAACACTGACATCAGACAACACGTACATCAACACAGAACTGGTGCTTATATTTTACACGGAATCTACATTTTACAGTGTAATGTTTACATAAATTATCTCTGCCCACTCAAATATATAAAAAAAAAGTAACCAAGTCTGCATCTCATTAAAGCATTAAGAATGTCATAAGAAACAAACATTTTTATTTTTTTGCAAAATTAAAATGAGGATGAAAATAAAAATCCCAAGCACCATTAACAAGAACTCTGAGAAAAGCACCCCCATAAATAAACATGTCAAATAACATAACGTCCTTGGCTGTTTGTTTGTTTTTTAACTAGTTTAAAAAATACGTTATTTAAACTGGAGGGGGAAAAAACATGTTAGTATAACAGATTATTACAAGTACAAATACATTTGATTTAAAAGTTGCTCAAGTTCCTTTGAAACATCATTGCACTCCCAAACCCCCCCCCCCCCCCCCCTTTTTTTTTTCCCCACCCTATTTTTTTTTTTTTTTTTTAGGTTGAAAACCACAGAAGTGATAAAGAGATGGATTAGAGAAGTTAGCCTTATGTGGAGTTTTGCAGAGTTGGCTTGTTTACGAGTATTACAGTGACGGAAGAGAGAGAATAGTTTGACTGCGTTGCAGCTTTCGTACTGACGGGCGGGCAGACAGGCAGGGTAAATAATAATGTAGTGAGCAATCGAAGAGTAGACTCTATTCATCCAGTTTCGTCCTTTTCAGGACGAAATTTTTGGTTATTTGAAGCCCCACTGTGGCTTTTGCCAGGGGCCGCAATATAGGCAGGCCATAAATATGGCCAATTGTCTGAACGCGGTTTCTGGGACCTCTGCATGGCGATCCTCATCCACATGGTGGCACTTTGTGTCATCGGGTGTTTATCGCTTGTGTGATGTCCTGGTGGGGTAGAAAGTCAGTCAGTCAGTCATTGAGCATTCGTGATAAACTGTTGATAGATTTCAAGAATGCATTAGTATTAGTTGCCATTTGTAATCCTTATCTAGTGCCATGTTGACATCTTACGTTCATTAGTGTCCGTCAGATGTTCTGCTTAAATACTGCTAGCGTGATTGAGATTATTCTCATAATTCCTGATATCGCTATTGAGATGTTCTCTTCAATATTGATAACGCTATTGGGACTGTTCTTCTTTTAATTACTGACAAAGCTACTGAGATGTTCTTTTAAATATTGCTAGCGTTACTGAGATATTCTCTGAATCACCGATAGCACTATCACACTGCATGTTCCTAATGTTACTTCTTGGGAGTTACTGAAGAAGAAGGACAGAGCAATGTCGTGGGTGTTGCTCAGTGAGATAGTCTATCCAAACACATTATCTAGTGCCGTGCAGACGCACAGCGGTGGAGGTGTACATTACAGGGGCTCAGAAAAGGGCCTGTATTGGGAGCTGTGGGTTTGGACCTGAAAATGCTAGATGCAACCGTAATGCCAAGGTGAGTGTGGCGATTTCAAACCCTCCGGCAGGTTGTGGCGAAGTATGATAATGCAAGCTGTTGCTGATTGTTGTTACTCTAAAGCCGAAGTGTATTCTTGTTAGTGTGTAGACAGACCTTTCGTCATGGAGTTGCATGTGGGCTATTGCAGTGAATGCAGTAAGCAGCTTTGTGACACCTATAAATGACTGTTATTGTCTTTTCCTTTACACTTTTAAGGTTTGCATTTAAAGCCCCCTTGTACAAACACAAAGTTTTTATCGTGGTATGGGGCGTCCCAGCCTAAAATGGGTACCAGGATGGCTGTCCTGGGAAAGTAAAGATAGCTGGCGTAATGCTGACCACATTACCCATCCAGTGCCGATTGGTCTGTAAAAATATGGGACGCTCTTCCCATATACCCGATGAGCCTAAGGCATGAAAAGGAATCTTTGCTTTTTTTTTTTAAACAAAGCCATCTCCTTACCTGATCTGCATCCACAAAAATAATCTTCTTCACATCTAATGGAAACAACACGTCCAGGAACAGAATTTTGTATCTGGAAAGGAACAATTAAAAAAAAAACCATATGTTTTTTCTTTTTACAGCAACTTTGTTTTGTGATACCAAATTAACCTTGTTCTCGGTAATAAATGTGGTGGGTTTCCACTATCTTCCGCATCCACAATAATCTGCATGCACACATGTTTTTTGTGGGCAGCTTTTCAAATTTTGATAAGTTTATTTATGGATGGCAACCTGTTGAGAGTAATGTTTCCAAACTGAGCAAGGACTGTTAGCATGTGCAGCATGCACAGGGACTGTCCTTTTTTTTTTTAGCATGTTTAAGAAGAATTGTTAGTATACAGCAGACTCAGAAGAAACATGTTGACTTCTGCCGGACCTGAGAATGGACAAACAACTAGGACTCCAGGCCACCAGGTCATTTAACATTGTCAAAATACCTTAGCTTTCAGGTATCAGGATGCTGTTTATCAGTCAATTCTCCTCAATGTTCGGATCATGTAGTATGTCAGTGTTCTTCCTCTTGCTAGTCCATGGTATTGTAAGAATCTTTCTGTAGCATTTCGGTTCAAAGGCTCAGATTTTCTTCAATGGGCGATTCAAGAGTCCATGACTCACATCCATAAGTTGCCACGAAAAAGGATGCATGATCTCAAATTTTTCAACTCCTACTCACTAGCAGGTGCTGGGCAATCAGTTCTTCATGCTGCCGAGTCTTGGCATTGTTAAAGCAAATCTGAAACAATAATTACAATTACACACAAATTGGTGCCAGACTGGCAGGAAGTCACACTTACCCCCAAATGATCCTCTGCTTCTCCTTTTGCTGGTTCAGCCAACGTGGCCACTTGTACTGAACCAGCTCATATTCAAAGCCATACTCCTGGGCCATGTATGGTATAAAGTCCTGCCACAGACACAAGATTTCATTAACACAACTGTCATAACACAACCAATACATGGGGAACATAAATCATGTGTTTTAACATTTCTTTTCCAGCCTGCTTTCTTCTTCTTCTTCTTCTTTAGTCTGTTCTACCTTTCAGCATCAGGTTTTGAAGAGGCATCAAGTCATTCCGATTTCTCTTCCTAATGTTTCTTCACGCCAGATTCAATCCGCTGCCAGCTTTCTGAGCCTCTCAGAGTTTACAGGAGTATCTATCCGGATGGACCCTATCCCACATGGTAAACTAGAGCCCGTAAACTTGAGATCTCACTGCCTGTTTTCTGGTAAGCATCTACCTTAATGTCCTGGGTTCAAATCCACATCAGGGCAAATGTTTATAATTGATCTACAGCTTCCAGGTTGACACAAATAAAACTGGCACCTGGAAATATCCTGTGAAGTAAAGGCGACTGCTTCACCTTTTCAAGTGCCAGTTTGTCTATACAAATATGAGTCCACTGCCAAATGGACAATGCACCAATGGCATGTAAAGATTTTCTTCATTCAATTTTACTTTAGGAAACGTCCCATTCTGCTTGTGACTGCTTAACTCACCTCTGTACACTGAGCCTCTCACTCATTGTGGACCACAGGAAGTGATCTGAAGACTTGGGACTTCAATTCTGTTCTTCTTATATCCATTTTCTGCTTTATGCCGCTAGGAGTCATAGGTTAACAGATGATCTATATCCAATCTCGGGTGTGTACATTCGCTGTGATGTTGTGGGGTCTCAGTATTTAAGTGACTCATTCAATTCATCTTCTGTTTGGTCATCTTCTACCTCTTGGTGTTTCTACTTTCATATTGTGTGCTCCTGTTGCTGGCATCACTGAATTCAACCTCATTAAATGGCCAAACTTTTTCAATCTTTGTTTTCCAATAAATTTATTTATAGGAGTATTTCCAATACTTCTTATTTTTATTTATTTCTCACATGATCTTTCCTAGTTTTCTGGGACTTCACACAGATGAGTTGGCAAAAGCTGGGAGTAATCCTGACCTCAACCACCACACAACTACAAAGAAACCAAAACAGCACTAAAGTAGTCTTTCAAGCGGGAGTGGAGAAGGCAGAATGGAGATTACAGACCAGAGAGTGACAGCATAAACAAACTCAACAGGAAAGAACAAACATCAATTTTTAGACTTCGGACAGAACACTGTGGTCTTCAAGCACACCTGTACAGGATAGGCATTACAAATTATGCTGCCTGTGATTGTAGAGCAGAAAGACAGACCCCTGAGCACATACTGCAATACTGCACTAACCTTCCCAGCAAAGAATCTGGATCTGGCCCAAGAAAGCTACATTATTTATATCAAAATCTGGCTTATTTGTATCCCGACAGACCCAGCTTATTTGTATCCAGATCTGGCTTATTTGTATCTATATAAATCTGGCTTTTTGTGTCCAGATAGACACGGCTTATTTGTATCCAGACATATATGGCTTATTTGTATCCAGACAGACCCGGCTTTTTTGTATCCAGACAATTTGGCTTATTTGTATCCAGATCTGGCTTATTTGTAACCAGATCTGGCTTATTTGCATCCAGATTTGGCATATATGTATCCAGATCTGGCTTATTTGTATCCAGATCTAGCTTATCTGTACCCAGATCTGGCTTATTTGTATACAGATTGAACATTTGTATCCAGATCCCTTTTTGGTACTCTTCTTTCTTTTGTCAAAATCTGCTTGTGCCGCTAGGCGTTGCAGTCTATCAGATGATCGGCAACCGAGCCAGGGCGCGCTCAGTCGCTTCATATGCCGTGATGTTATGAAGTCTCAAGTTGTCCGTGACTCCTTCAATCCATATTCTTCTTGGTCTTCCCCTGCCTCTTGGTGTTTCGATATTTATGTTGTATGCTCTTGAAGCTGGCATCGTTGGTTCCATTCTCATTTTGGTCTGGTAGTCTGGTAGTCTTAGTTTCAGCTTCATAGCAAACGGGTCGCCCCATCTTTGCTCCGCTCCTGTGCCAGCGAAAAACACACAGAATGTTTATCACAGTCCCTTGTGGAAAGATTGACAGACTGCTGTCTCAGCAAATCTAACATACACTCGCATTAACGCATATGGTAGCCATCCGAAGTGCTAACACAACCAGTCCAACATTATAAATGCAGTTCATCATTGATGATAGCAGAACTTGTCACCAACAGATCAGCAGTTGCCCGCGCGATCAATTTTAATACGGGTCCCGCCAGCATTGCACGACCGGCATCGCGCCATTTTCTGAATCTACAATTCACACCACGTTGGTCACAGTCGAAAAAACATTCCAAATGCAATCCGCAGCTCACAGGGTCACGCCATGCATTCAACTCAGAAGCTGGGCGACGAAACTATATCCAGTCTACAAATGGAGCAAAAATACTTCGGCCACCGTCCGGCAGAAGCAAAAAATTTGCCTCCGCTCCGAACAGCGCCACTGTCTAGCGACCATTTTAACCGGAAGTCCAAAAAAAAAAGAAGCTCTCATTTTGGTACTCATATTAGGCTAATTTGTATCCAGATCTGGCTTATTTTTATCTTGACAGACCTGGCTTTTTGTATCAAGCTCTGGCTTATTTGTATCCAGACCTGGATTTTTTGTATCCAGATATGGTTTATCTGTATCCAGATATGGTTTATCTGTATCCAGGTCTGGCTTAATTGCATTCCAGTTTGGCTTTTTTGTATCCAAATCTAGCTTATTCAGATCCAAATTTTGCTTATTTGCAACCAGATCTAGCTTCTTTGTATTTATATTGACTGGGTCATTTGTATCTAGATCTGGCTTATTTATCTAGATCTGGCTTATTTATATCCAGATCTGGCTTACTGCATATAAATCTGGCTTATATGTATCCAAACAGACCCAGTTTATTTGTATCCAGATCTAAGTTATTTGGATCAATCCAGCTTATTTGTGTCCAGATCTGGCTTATTTGTATCCAGATATGGCTTAATTGTATTTATATAAATTCAACTTATTAGTACCCAGATCTGGCTTTTTGTATCAAGATCTAGCTTATTTGTATACCGAACTTGCTTATTTGTATTCCAATCTGGCTTTTTTGTATCCTGATCTGGCTTATTTGTTTCCAGATCTGGCTTATTTGTATCCAGATATGGCTTATTTGAAACCAGAACTGGCCTATTTGTATCTAGATCTGGCTCATTTCTTTTCAGAGAGACCCATTTTATTTGTATCCAGACAGACCTGGCTTACTGCAAGAGAAGCTATAGGGACCGGTGGCGACCTTAAACACACAATCCTATTTGTGACCCAGACGGAACTCAATGTTTAGCTTGACTGATGATGAGCGCATAAGAAGAAGAAGAACTGACCTACACAAAACAATTGCTTCACTTCATCAGCATGTTAGACTGGACATGTATTCAGTTTCCACCAATGCTGGGGATTTTTAACAGAAATCCTAGACTGTGCACTACATGCTGATTTCTTCTGCTTATTCATCATTCTGAGCCCTTGAGGTTCATTGCTGCAGATATCACCAGCCTCCACTCATCTCTCTGGCTGACCTTCTCTTTCCAGCTGGTGACATTATTAGTTGTTTGCAGGTCTGTCTGGACATTATCTCTCCATCGTCTTCTTGGTCTGCCTCGTGGTCTATGACCATTCATCTTCCTTGTGTATACAGTTTTCACTTCTCTGTCATTTGACATTCTCTCAATTTGCCCCAACCATTTCAGTCAATTAGCTCTCATGAAGCCAGTGATCATGATGACTAAAAGCACTAAATACAACACAAACTGTGACTAAGAAAATATAACAGAGAGACCACAACTCAAAACAACTGACAAACTGTGACTCGAAATCTAAACAGAGGAAATAAAAAATAGAAGCACAAATATACCAAACGTTTTGACCAGTCTTTTTCAAAGGAGTAATAAACACAACACAACTGTTACAGGAAATTCAGGAAACAAGAGCTTATTTTTTCCAAAAACATGCAAGGTCATTATGAAATAAGAAATGTGTGATAACTACTTGGGCAAGCGGTCTTTACTCGTCAGCCAAAATAAACTGTATTGGGCACACGCCAGCAATACTACAGATGCCACAATAAATAATTTCTTTGTCTTCTCAGCGTCCACTGGCTGTAAATTGCAGATTAAAATTTTGGTTGCTCATCCACATCTAGACTTTTGTATTGTTCCAGAACATGAGTTTTGCATGCGCATCTATTCTACAAATCTAGCTTATTTAAATGTAAGAAATGCTGAATATAACCCCAAAATTGACTAGAAAGCTCAACAGAAGGAATAGAAAAGATGCACAACCGAACATTTCGACCAAAGTCTTCATCAACGGAATACTAAATACAGCACAAACTATGACTGGAAAAACTCAACGGACATCTAATTAAAAAACCAAGGTCAACATGAAATCAAAAAGTACATAACTGGGGTTGGGGGGAGGGGGAATGAATATAAAGAACTATTACATGAAACAAAATTAGTAAGAAGGCATATGTAAAAAGAGGCTGAGAAACATAAATAAGTTAAATAAATGAAGAAGTAAATAAATTAAATTAAATAAAATAAAGCTGTGTTGAATATTGATCCCTCCAGGACTATGAACAACAAAACTATGGAACAACCATTTTCTAATGAGTAGCGGCTGGTTTGATCACTGGAGCAAGACTTAATAGCAGTGACTGAGATATCGTTTTAGCCTTGGTGGTCAGAACTGTTAAAATGGAGGGAGACAGGTTTGAGAGCCTTATTACGAATGTACAAATTTATTTAAATGTAGACTTATGGTTCCTTGCCTTTCTGGCAGCTGCACTCCGGCTTTGAAGGAAACACCCCTAAAGTCACTTTTTATCATATGGCTGTTAAAGGGGCAGTGGGTCTATTCTCCCCACCCCAAATGGATCCTCAAAATCCACTTGAGGAAGATAAATAGCAAAAGTGAGTACTGGTAGCAAACTTAAAGAAAACTAAGCGGTAAAAGCAACACAAGGATGTACAGTGATTTCTTTACCTTGAAGATCGGTGAGAGATAATTCTTTAAGAACCAGAACTTGACCTTTGACTTGGTGTGCTTTAGAACACTCAACATCATTATCCTAGGAAGACAAGCCTTTACTATATGCAACGTCACAAAAAAGAAACACATACTGCATTTTATGTCAATGCCTTTATGTATATCTAAATAACGATTATAACAAACATAACTTGTAACAGAAGTCTCTTTACAGACTGTGTTTATCACTTTAAAAGCGGTGTAGGGTGGGAGAGGGTGGGTGTCATGAGCCTAAGAATTTTAGGCTGTATGGCTGGTAAAACAGCCTAAAAAGTCTATGGTTAAGCACCAGCAAGGAGATCAAAATTATAATTTTGAGAACATGCATCTTTCCTGTAGCAACATACAGATGTGAGTCGTGGACTATCTCCCAATCCTTAAGAAAGAGAATAGGGGCTTTTGAACTGAAATGCTATAGAAAGATTCTCAGAATATCTTGGACAAAGAAGAGGAGAAATCCTAACATCTTCTAAGATCTGAACATCACGGAAGATTGGCTAATAAACAGCATCCTGTCTCAGAAGCTGAAATATTTTGGTCATATCAAGCGCTATGACGGATTGGACAAAATTATAGCAGACGGCATGGTACCAGGAATGAGGGGCAGGGGCCAGCCAACACGAAGATGGGCACAGGATATAAGTGACTCCTTGAGTATAAAAGTACACGAGGCGGGAGAGCTGGTGAGAGACCGAGTTTCTTTCAGACAGACCGTGGTGAGAGCGACATTCTGCAAAGGACCTTCTTCTTCTTTTGTCAAAATCTGCTTGTGCCGCTAGGCGTCGCAGTCTATCAGATGATCGGCAACCGAGCCAGGGCGCGCTCAGTCGCTTCATATGCCGTGATGTTATGAAGTCTCAAGTTGTCCGTGACTCCTTCAATCCATCTTCTTCTTGGTCTTCCCCTGCCTCTTGTTGTTTCGATTTTCATGTTGTATGCTCTTAATGCTGGCATCATTGGTTCCATTCTCATTAGGTGACCAAACCATTTCATTCTTTGCTTCTCAATTAATTTAACGATGGGTATGGTTCCAATAGTTCTTGTAATCACATCGTTTCTCACTCGATCTCTTCTGGTTTTATTCGCAGCCATTCTCAAACATCTCATTTCACAGGTGCAAAGGACCTGCTAACTGATAATGATGAAGATGATGGCTGGTGGGCCAGTGCACCTGAAACAAACTTCGCAGGTCAAGATTGTGTGTGTGTGCCAGACAGACAAAAATCTCCTTCCCTTACTGAGGACTGAACCCACGTTTCCCACATGACAGCCCAGCGTTTTAAGGATTGGAAGCTCCTCTTGCAGTACACACTTCCCATATATGATTTAAGTAGAGCTCTGTGGCTCAGAGACTTGTGACTGCATTAGTTTCGATTTCCGCAGCTGGTGAATGTTCTAATGGCTATCGAGAGGCACACTGTAGAAGAGACTGGGGCCTCATTAAATAATATTTTCAAAGACATCAGTGAATGCACTGTCAAAATAAGAACCTTATTTAAATAAAGAAAGCATCTCCAAGTGAGGCGACAACAGTCAGTTTGTCTTCTTTTCAACTTGTTTACAAGAATGTTAATGTTCACACATGCTGCCGTTTCCCTCTGGACAGGTCTGAAACTATACAACTTAACACAACTTAAGGACTACATACCTTAGAAATCTTCCATACATACATGACCTGAAACTGCATAGCTAAACATAACTTTAGGAAAACCCACCTCAGAAACCTCTCATAGAGATGACCGGAAACTACATAGCTAAACATAACTTTAGGAAAACCCACATCAAAACCTCTCATAGAGATGACCTGAAACTACATAGCTAAACATAACTTTAGGAAAACCCACCTCAGAAACCTCTCATAGAGATGACCTGAAACTTCATAGCTAAACATAACTTTAGGAATACCCACCTCAGAAACCTCTCATAGAGATGACCTGAAACTACATAGCTAAACATAACTTTAGGAAAACCCACCTAAGAAACCTCTCATAGAGATGACCTGAAACTACATAGCTAAACATAACTTTAGGAAAACCCACCTCAGAAACCTCTCATAGAGATGACCTGAAACTACATAGCTAAACATAACTTTATGAATACCCACCTTAGAAACCTCTCATAGAGATGACCTGAAACTACATAGCTAAACATAACTTTAGGAAAACCCACCTAAGAAACCTCTCATACAGATGACCTGAAACTACATAGCTAGACATAACTTTAGGAAAACCCACCTCAGAAACCTCTCATAGAGATGACCGGAAGCCACAGAGAAGATGTTGAGAGTGCTGTCCTTGTCCTCCTCTTTCTTGCTGGACCCTCCTGTGATGGTGCTGAAAATATTCACCAAACTATGTCACTGATTCATCAGCATCTGCTCCATAACAATCGTACACAACAATCTAACTCAGTGACCACCCCTAAGAGGTTTCAGACTCCTCCCCCCCCCCCCCATGTGGGTTTACGAGTGTCATTTTAGAGGAATAAAAAAGGAATAGACTCACTGCCTCTTAATAAGCATGTGGTAAGAGGTGACCAATAATCAGCCTGCTGAAACAGGATGTATTGAATCAAAAGGTGCAGATATCATAGCCTCGCTGTAAACCACAACATAATGTACCAACAAAGGGTAAATGCAAAAAAAGACTTCTTCAAGTGCTGATGCGTAGCAGTTAGGGCATTCATCTACAAACATTGCAGTTTTGAATTTGAATTCAGAGTCTAATTTTATCTGATGGGGTCTCCGTGGTGTGGCTAAGTGGTCAAGCCACTTGCCTCATGTTCTGAAGGTCATGGGTTCATTACACGGCTGTGCCCTTCAGTTCATGAGTGCAATTTTTATGGAGATCTCTAGCAATCATCGCCGGAGCTACAGAGTTCGCGCTCTGCACTGCGCTCAACAGGCGGCTAGCCGTTCTGCGGAGAGAGACCAAACCATAATGGATAAAACCTGGTGCAATGAAGTCGATCCTCTCAATTTTAACTTTAACCTCTAACTGACAAGCATGTTTCTAGAATCAACCCAATTAAACAGCTGTGAATCCTCCAAAAGAGTTGTCCTCTTTATCTGACAACTGAGGTTCAGAATGTCTGTGCCCTGACAACGGTATGCATCTATCACAGCTAGTTTGGTATTTACCTTTTTTTTTAAACCAGGTACGAAAACTGTGTTGTAGGAATGACTCAACAGATATAAGACAAAGAAGATGGTGATACAGCAGATAGAGAACCAGTCTTAACAGATATAAGAGAAATGTCTCTGCAGAGGAACCCACGGGGATGTAGAAATAAAGGCAGACCACAAATACATGGAGAAGGGGGCTAGAGAGTAAGTTACAAAGATGGGGAGGACAAGCGGTTAACTGAATGCCACAGCAAAGGATAGAATGACTTGGCACGAGTTGGCTGAGGGCCTATGCTCCATTTGGGGAATAGAAGGCAGAAGAAAAAGAAAGATTTTACATTTATAAGAAAGATGTTTACAATCATGTACAATTACACTGTACCTAAGATCATATAAAATAAAAGTGTAGAAGGCATTGATATTAAATAATAACCAAAAAGGAAAAAAAAAAGGGGGTGGGGGAGGATTTATGCAGCAATAAATTAAGAACAAAAAGTAATCATGTTTCATAGTAACACAACTACAAAAAAAAAAAAAAAAAGCTATATCAACAGTGGAAGATGCAGTAGCATAGCCAGAAGGTCAAGGCTTGAAATCCAAATCAAGTTTTGAAACCGACTCTTGGCATCTAGGGGTGAACCAGCCAAAAATGTGCATCAGGAAGTGCCTTGAGAAGTAAAGGTGGCCAGCATGGTACTTGCCCCATCTCCCATTGAGTGCTAGCTGGCCTATACAAATACATGACTAGAGCTACAGGCTTGATAGGGCCAAAGGTGTGAACAGGGTCCTTTACATATCAACACAAAAATTCTTTCTGGCGTGGACAGAATGGTGATGGCGGGTGGTGCAGTTTCTGGGAAATGAGGCAGAGGTAGGCAGGAGACTCTTATGATGCCATGAAAGTACACGGAGCTGGAGAACTAGCTTCAGAAAGAGAGACTTTCAAAGGTGCCGTAAAGAGAGCCATGATTTCTACAGGACCTGCTGACTGATGATGATGAGCAACATTCTTTGCTGACGCTGCACTTTTATGGCAGCCTCTGTAACCTGGGAGCTATAAACACAAAGGTTATGAACACAGTTTTCCCTTATTCTGACATACTAGGTTCGTTTAAGCTGCTGGTGATTTGGCAGCCAAGTGCTCTGGACTGATTTCTTTTTCTTTGTTCACCAGCTGTAAGCTCTAGCCGAAAGTCATGACTGTGGTGCGTCCATCTGGACTTTGTGCCAGGGCCAGAGTTTTGTGTGAACATCTGTTTTACTGACTTATCTGCGTGCAGCTGGTTGTTCCTTGCCGCTTGGGCTGATGCACTCCAATTTCGAAGGAAGTTCCCAAATTAATCGACACTTACGACATGCTTAATGGGGAGTCTGTGGGTCCATTCTTGTTTTCCCCACAACTTGGCCCCTGAACCCAAGCGGGGAGCATTGATTTCAACAATGGTACGAGTGCCGACTGTCCCACAAAGCGATGACAAACTACTGAATGTAAAATTGTTTAGTGAAATCACAAACAGCCTAACAAATGCTAGATTTGGTCACATCAAGTAAAGTATATGCAGCTAACTTTTGACGGCTGATTACTTCAAATGGGTTTCATTACTGATTAAGTTATGGGTAGAAACAGCCTAAATTTGACAAGTGTACTGGAACAAAAAAGTAAAAAAAAAAAAAAACTAACAAAACGGTTCAAAAATCAAGACGAACAGAAAAAAAAAAGGTAAAGGCTTGAAGGTGAACAGTAATTTAAAAAAAAAAAAAAGCCTATCCGATGGTGAACTGCAACAAAACTGCCTATCTGAAGGTGATCTAACAGAATAATTAAAATTTTATGGTAACGCAAAATTGCAAATGAACAATAACAAAAAAAGATGAAAACCTAAGAAGGACTGTAATTTTAAAAAGAGGAGAAATCCACATTTGCAAAATGTTGGCCCCTAAGTAAACTTACAGAACTACAACAAAGTAGCTCAAAACTACCAGGGAACTGTAATGAAAAACTAAAGAAAGGTGAACTACAATGAAACAACTGAAAACTTCAAGTGAGTTGTAATAAAACAATGAAGACTAAAGTTCAGCTTTAACAGCCTGGACGCTGCAGGTGAAATGTAACAAAAACACTGAAAACTATAAATGAACTACAATAAAAGAGTTCTTCTTCTTCGCTGCAGACTACAGCGGAAAGTTCTGGTTGTTTGTCCGCCTCTGGACTTTAAGTCTTGTTCCAGAAACTGAATATTGCGTGCATATCCATTTTCCAGATCTGGCTTATTTGTATGCAGATATCTGGTTCCTTGCCTCAGGTAGATGCATTCCAACTTTGAAGGAAGCTCCCAATTAGTTGACTCTTACAACATGCTAGTTGGGGGAGGCAGTGGGTCTATTCTTGTTTCCCCCACAATGGGGCCCCAGAACCCATGAAAACAACAAAAGAGTTGAAAAATAGCTAAATTATAATAAAACACTGAAAACTACAAGTGAACCGCAACAAAACAGCTGAAAAACAGCAGACGAAATGTAACTAAAAAGCTGAAAATTGCAGCAGAAATATTCCACAACACATGAAAATTACAGGCGGAATATAACAAAATGGCCTGAAAGCGGCAGGTAGGCTGTAACAAAACAACTGACAACATATAAGTTTTCAAACAAGAGGTGAAAACTGCAGGTAAAGTATTGGGGAAAAAAAAGTTAAAAGTGCAGATGAGCTATAAGAAAACCGCTGAACCGAGCAGGTGAGCTATAAGAAAACAGTGGAACCGTGCAGGCGAGCTATAAGAGAACCGCTGAACCGTGCAGGTGAGCTATAAGAAAACTGCTGAACCGTGCAGGTGAGCTATAAGAGAACCGCTGAATCATGCAGGCGAGCTATAAGAAAACCGCTGAACCGTGCAGGTGAGCTATAAGAAAACTGCTGAACCGTGCAGGTGAGCTATAAGAAAACAGTTAACTGTGGAGGTGAGCTATAAGAAAACAGTTGAACCATGGAGGTGAGCTATAAGAAAACAGTTGAACCATGGATGTGAGCTATAAGAAAACAGTTTAACCATGGAGGTGAGCTATAAGAAAACAGTTGAACCATGGAGGTGAGCTATAAGAAAACAGTTTAACCATGGAGGTGAGCTATAAGAAAACAGTTGAACCATGCAGGTGAGCTATAAGAAAACAGCTGAACCATGCAGGTGAGCTATAAGAAAACAGGTGAACCATGGAGGTGAGCTATAAGAAAACAGCTGAACTGTACATGTGACTTCAATTATTTTTTTTTTAAACAGCTGAACTGTGCAGAGCTATAAGAAAATAACTGAAAAGCACCAGTAAACTATAACACAGCTGGTGAGGCCTAATGGTTCATACATCCCTCTCTCTCTCACCCCTGAAGGTACAAATGCTCAGATCTGCAAAGCAAAGACTTATGATCCATTAATGGTAAATCATGAAACAACCAAGCCTATCTACTCAAGGATCTCCTTGACTTATGACTTCAGAGTTCCAAACTGACTAGCGGGTAATAAGCTGAACAGTTCCTCAGTTGAATTTATATTCTTCAACAATAATTTCCAAACTGTGGTTGCAGATAGCCTGCCGTAGGTGGCCAGGGTCAAACAGACTGATGTCTAAACCTTGCTGCACTCTAGGCATCAGTTCTGGTTACTTTGTGATCCTACCACTCTATAGTTATCTTTCTGTATTGAATTTTGTGTGTTTGGTACAAGTGTGGATGGTCATAAGTCCCATACGTTCAGGAGAAGGTGTAGTGGCAGTGTTTCCTCCTGCTTGATTTGGGAAACAAGTGGACTCAGAAAATGAAGAGGTTCAAATGACACCCTAAACACTGATAAGATAGGCCACAGGTGGAGGACCGGATTCTATCAATGATGTTGACAGAATTGCACAGGATTTAAATTAAACATTTAAAAAAAAAAGGTCATAAAAATGGATAGCAAAATTTAAAAAAACTATCATGCGCTTCCTAAAGAAAACGGAAGTAAAGGACCATTTCCCAGGCTTTCAGCATACAGCACTAGAACTGTATTTTACAGAGCAATCCTCAATCAGTGGGTGATGTGGTCAACATCACGCCAGCCGCTTTTACTTCCCAGGACTTTACCCTGGTCGACATGGGAGATAAGGTCATTTCTTAAAAAAGGTTCGGCTCCATTCAGATTCAAACCCCTGCCCTTCGGATCCGCATGTGAGCGTCTACTAAGAAAATGTACCAACAACTAAATAATTATTTCTACACAGCTGAAAGTCAACAGAAAAATATCTACTAAAATTATTTTTTTTTTTAAATTATATGTAAATTTTTTTTTTTTTTTTTTTTTTTTTTTAGTCTACTTAAAGTACATTTTAATATAGTTACTTATTAAATATATATTTAGTTAAATAGTTGAAGTCAAATACTTTAAAAAGAAAAAAAAATTATGAAACTATATCACATTGTTCCTCTGGCCTCAACTATTCACTGCAGTATGGTTTTCACACCGTCAAAATATTTCAATTGGCTTGTTTCTATTAGGAACTATTTTTATTCCGTGAGTATATGGTACGACCCCCATACCCCTCTTGAGTATATTGCAACCCCCCCCCCCCCCCCCCCCAAACACAACTAAATGAGATTTAAAATGAGGTCAGTAGATTCTGCAATGAGCGACAGATTCTGCAACAAGCGACAGATTCTGTAACGAGCGACAGATTCTGCAACGAGTGACAGATTCTGCAACGAGCGACAGATTCTGCAACAAGCGACAGATTCTCTAACGAGCGACAGATTTTGTAACGAGCGACAGATTCTGCAACGAGCGACAGATTCTGCAACGAGTGAAACAGAAAGTATGGAGCTAGATTATGGTCAGAATGTGTTCTTAACCTATAATTAAATGCACATGTGAAATTAATTAGATTTTTAATGGTAGATGCACAAACTGCTCATGAAGCAAAAATGTCCTTCTTGTTTTGTTTAATATGTGGTTTGAAAAAAAAAGTTTATTTATAATTAAACTAAAACAAAACGTTAATATAACAGATTATTACAAGTGCAAATGCAGTTACATTCAAAATTGCTACCCTCCTTAAAACCTCCCTGTGACCCCCCCCCCCCCCCCCCCCCCCCAGCTGGAAACTACTGAAACAAATCTACTTGCATTAATTTATGAAAACAATTATTAAAAACTAACTAGATTTTTAGTTATCTGGTTAAAGACAAAGAGAAATTAAAATCCACTACATAAAACTGTGTTAACAATTATCTATACTAAATTTCTTTATGAATACATAAAATGAAATGATAAGATCTATCAAAATCAAACTGTGCTAGAAGTAACTAGTCAACTACGTGCTGCATAGCTAAACCCAAGCAGGAAAAAAGATCTACTTAGAAATGGAATCCCACAGGCCAGATCTGTCTTCCTCATCCTGTAAGAGACTCTGGTCAGCTTTATCTGGCTTCTTGGCGACCTGGATTATAAGGCAACAGGTAGAGAAGTCATTAAATTGGAAGAGTTCAAGGGGAAAAAAAGGCAAATCATATCAGAACTATTTACTGGCCAACTTTATGCTATCAGTGTCAAACCTGGATGGACCCTTATTAAAACTAATGAAAGCATTATTATAACAACAGAGATAAGATGGCCCAAAGGTGCTGCTGGTGTAACAAGAGAAGATACAAAATTAAAAATTTAGATCCGTGTGGGTTCTGGGGCCCCATTGTGGGGAAAACAGGAATAGACCCACTGCTTGCCAACAGCATATCATAAGAGTCAACTAAAAAGGAGCTTCCCACGAAGTCGGAGCACATCTGCCTGAGAGGCAAGTAACCAAAATACGGCTTGCAAATGAGTCGACCTGTGAAATGGATGTGCACACAACATTAAATTTCTGGAACAGGACTAGAGTCCAGAAGTGGACGAACAACCAGAACTTTCCGCTGGAGTTTAAAGCCGGTGAACGCGAAGAAGAAGAAGAAGAAAAATGTAGAAACTGAAGAAGACTAGGTCTGAAACCAGTCATACAGTTTATTAAATGAACAGCAGCAGATAAGACAGTAATTAGTTTACTCTTATGACATGCACAATAGGGAAAGAGAGGGTCTATTCTTGTTCTACCCACAGTGGAGCTCCACACGGAGAAATGAAAATGAAAAGAAATAAGTTCAAAACACGTATACCATGGGATTACCTTTCAACCCACCCCCAAACTAGGCCCTGCAACCCACATGAATGATTACTAATGATCTGACCAGCTTAAGAGTTAACACATTTTGCCTGCCCGTCAAGCAGTGGAATAGGCTCTTGAGCTCTTCTGAGCATCCGAGGTTCATTCCTGCAGATTTCACCCACCCCCATTCATATTTGTGACTGGTCTTCTCTTTCCATCTGGTGACTCCAGGTGTTTGTAGGTGTGTCTGTATATCATCTCTCCATCATCTTCTAGAGGTTTGAGGTTTAGACAACGGATCAACATCATGGCACACTGGTAGTAACCCATAAATGCTCCGTTCTTCTTCTAACTCAAGTCTGAGTTCGAAGAAGCTCAACACTGCGCACAGGCTCTGTAGCACCGGGGAAGATCGTGAAATACTTTAGGTAGATTTTTAACTCCAAATTTTGTCTGGGCTGTGCCGTATGGCTACTCTTTTTGATTTCCAACTGCCAAGGGATTTCTTACCTGCGCAACAATGCACACGGGCGTCCGATCTCACTACCCAGCCCAGAGACCAGAGAGAATTACTAGAAGTCCAAGTCCACGCGAAAAAATCCCAGCCCCTACAGGGGATTTAACCCGAAACCTATAGCACTCGAGGCAGAGACTCTGCCTAGAGACCACGCAGCCCCTCTCCCATCATCTTCTTTGTCTGCCTTGTGGTCTACTCTCATTCCACTCTATTGTGTCCACCACAGCAAAACCTTTCTTTTAACTTCTTAAGATATAACATAAATCTAAAACATATATCCACAAACAAATTAGACGCACAGTGAACATTAATTAAAATAAATTATTACCAGTGAAGCATATGTTTATCAAACTTCCAGGTTAAGTTCTTTGCTATATGATCAATTTCTCTGTCTTACAGCTCTTACAATACAAGACAGAATCAATGCAAACGCTCACCTTAATTCTGATAATTTTGCCCTTAAAATTGCCAATTGCAATAATAACTTTCGTAGAATTTATTGGCGAGTCAGTGTTCTCGTGGCTGAAAATATACAATACATTTAACTCTTTTAGTCCCAAGTAGCTGTTGCCTCAAGACTTCAAATCATGTACAGTACAGCACCAGTTTTTTTTTTTGAGTCTTCATTATTTGGACTTCAATCTTGTTCCAGAACCTGAGTTTGCATACACATCAATGTTACAGATCTGGCTTATTTGTATGCAGACTGTTGATTATTTGCCTCTCAGGCACTCCCACTTTGAAGAAAACCTCTAATCATTCGACTCTTATGACATGCTTGCTAGGGAGGCAGTGGCTTTATTCAAGAGGTAAGACACCAGCAGTCTCAGAGGGTTCACAACCAACGCGAGTATTGGAAATCTACTGGGTAAACATTAAGCAAATCTCCCCAGAGTTAGCCCTGCCTATTTACACACTAGGTCACTTTTGATTGGTAGTTGCTGAGCCTCATCACCTTTGCACAAGGTTAGGAGGGGGGTGTTCTGCGTTACCGCTGATATCGTGGAACACACCTGTAACCTTCAGCAAAGTTGACCAGCCTAACACACTATGAATTAAAAGTGACCTAGTGGGTAAATAGGCGGGGCTAACTCTGGTGAGATCTGCGTAATGTTTACCATCTACTGCTGCCAATCATCACTGTGACGAGGCCACCTGATTGGTTGCTATTTAATTACTATTATCTGACAAATGTACTGAACCAATGCTGACCAAGTCTGCCATTACAATTGTGTCCACAACAGCTGGTGTACTTCTGGCGTACAAAAACAAACTGTAGAAGTCTCAGAGGCTGGCTGCTTTGTGCTTGAATCATAACAGTGAGGCAGTGGCTCTATTCTCACCCACAAAGGGAAAAAGGATATTTCAAGGTGAGAACATCAGATTCTTTACACCAAGTTTATCCCTTACAGCTGGGTCTTTTCCTCTGCAGATCAGCTGTTGGCTGGACAAGAGCACAGCATTAGGCAAAAAAACTGTTTAATGAAAAAAAATGCAACATATACCTCTCTATTCTGTAGATTTCTTCGGACCTTCCCTCTCTCAGGTTCAAGTACCATAAACCAGGGTTTGCCTTCAGCTGGAAGTAACCCTAGAGAATACCATACACACACACAAATAAATAATAATAGTAGTAGTAGTTGTTGTTCATCCATCACAAGTGATGAAGACCACTTAGTAATGATCAATGATTATGAGTACGAAGGTGGCTGATTAGTCCAATATGAGCCAGGAAAGTTCTTGAGCAGTGCGGACAACAGGTGGGAGTGATGAAGACCACTTTCATCTAAAGTAGTAATGATCAATGATTATGAGTACGAAGGTGGCTGATTAGTCCAATATGAGCCAGGAAAGTTCTTGAGCAGTGCGGACAACAGGTGGGAGCCGCAGTAAGTGTGGGATAAGCAGTACGATTCTTTCTAGTCTGCCTCCGTTTCTCTGCCTGTGCAACCTCCGCTGCCTGGCAGGCCGATGCACCATGCCTGAGAGACGTACACCATTCAGAATTGTCTTGTGCAGCAGCCTACCAAGTTGTTGTGTTGATGCTAAAAGAATTGAGAGCAGTAAGAAGGAGTAGTAGTAGTTATAGTAGTAGTGACATAGTAGTAGTGGTCATAGTGGTGTTAGTAGTACTAGTGAAAGTAGCAGCTGTGGCAACAGCAAGCTGCCAATAGTCTCCTGCTATATTCCTTATCTGGTTTAACTGCGCCACCTGTGCAGCTAAGATTGTGATATGTGCACCAACTCCTTGGCTTTATGTTCCTATCTGTAGGTGGACACTGTGGTGATGAGGTTCTATGGGAGACTAGGGAACGGATTTTTAAAAAAGCTAACAAAGATATCTTCAAAGAAACTGACTGACAAAGAGAACTTCTTCTTCTTCTGTGTTCACCCGTTAAAAAAAAAACCAAGGGTAGCTGGCACACTGTGTTGTGGTTTACAGCTAAACTGTGTTATCCGCACCTTATAGCCCAACACATACGATCTCAACAAATACTTTATGATATGACTGTTCAAGAGCAGTGAATCTATTCTCCAAAACCCACATGAGAAATAAAGAGAACGGATTACTCAGTTCAGTAGAAGACAAGGCCCATTCTTAGGGCATATCATGAGAAGGGAAAAAACTGTAGTATGTTAGCATGTGTGACAACAAGACAGTTTGGGTGCAAGAGTTCCAAGGCGAAGAGCCAGAGAGTAGATTTTATATGTTCTATCAGAAATGATCAGCATATACTTCTTCTTCTTTTTTGCTCACTGGCTGTGAACTCCGGTGAAAAGTCCTAGATGTTCATCCATTTGGACTTCAGCTTTGTGCCAGGGCCTGAGTTTTGAGTGTACATCCGTTATATTGGCTTATTTGTGAGCAGTTGGTTGTTCCTTACTTCTTAGGCAGATGTACTCTGACTTCAAAGGAAGCCCCTAATTAGTCCACTCTAATGATATAGCTTGTTGGAAAGGTCTGTTCTTGTTTTCCTAACAACAGGGTCCCAGAACTTACACAGGGAACCAGCATGCACAAGACAGAAGGCTGTGGAAAGACATGACTACCAAAGCTATACAACACTGACTTTAAGAAGTATCTACAACTGTCAAGTTTCCCAGTAACATTTCAAATTTATCTGTCCATCGTTTTTATATAACTTCAATAGAATTGGCGTTATTTAAGGGAAACAAAAAAAAACAAAAAAAACAACCAAGGTGGCGATGGTGGAAATGAAAACAGAGTCAAATCAACAAGTGAAATATTTCGGTCTAATTAAAACAAATCTTCTTCTTTTTCTTTGCGTTCACCAGCTGTATTCTCAGGCAGAAAGTTCTGGCTGGTCGTCAACTTCTGGACTGTAGTCCTGTTATGGAACCTGAGTGATGCATGTGCATCCGTTTTATATATCTGACTCATTTGTATGCAGACTGTTGGTTCTTGGCCTCTCAGGCCTATGCACTCCAACTTTGAAGGAAGCTCCAAATTAGTCGACTCCTATGACAGACTTGTTGAGTAGGCAGAGGGTCTACTCTTGTTTTCCTAAAGGCCCCGGAACCCACACAGGACAAAAAAGACATAACATTCATATAAAACATAAAGTAAAAAGTATAGTACAGTTAAAGGATCATTTTCATACCAGTGGCACATCGGGCAAAATATGGCAGACTCACATTTTCACAGGCTAATCCGCACTTGGTGGGCGATGTGGTCAACATCACGCCAACCGCCTTTCCTTTCCAGGACATTACCCCATACCCGTTTTATGCTGGGAGGCAAAGTCAGTTACGAAAAAATCAGACTAAATGCAGATTTGAACCTAAGTACTTCAGGCCAGCAGGCAGGCTTCTAGCCATAAGACTACCATAAGACTAGATTTGATGGAAAAGCTGAAGGCAGAAGAACAAGTCATGGACAGAGGCAGGACATCATCAAGAGATCAATGAACAGCGGTCTCAGAGAGTTCACAACCAGGGAGACTGTTGAAGATCCACTGCAGCCAACCAACTGTTGTGGTGGAGATGCCACCTGATTAGTTGGTACCTTCCCTGTTTTGGTCCAGGGTCCCATTCTGAAAGAAAAAAAGAGAGAGAGACCCACTTCCCCCCTTTCCAAACAAGCATGCTGTAAAAGTAGACTCATTAGGGGGTGCTTCCCTCAGAGTCGGAGTGTATCTGCCTGAAGAGGCCAGGAACCAACAGTCTGTTTACAAATATGTCAAATCTGAAAAACTGACATGCAGGCAAAACTCTAGTTCTAGAAAAAGAAAGAAAAAAAAGACTAGAGACCAGAAGTGGATGAACAACCTAAACTTTAACCTGTAGTTTACAGCCCACGAATGCGAAGAAGGAGAAGAAGAAGAAGAGGAGGAGGAGGAGGAAGAGGAGGAGGAGGAAGAGGAGGAAGAGGAGGAGGAGGGGGAAGAAGAAGAAGAACAACAACAACAACAAAAACAAGACAAGAACAAGAAGAAGTCATAGTGTAATTTTCACTATCTATCAAATGTACGGAACCAATACTGACCAAGTTTGCCATGACAATTGTGTCCACAACAGCTGGGGTACTGTTGGTACCTAACACAAACTGTAGACCTCTCGGAGGCTGCATTGTGCTCGAATCATAACAGTGACCTGGTCAGAGGGGAGGCAAACAGAGCTTTAAATCCCTGGGCACCAACAAGGAATATCAGAAGACACTGTGAGTCAGTTACATCCAAACTAAACAAGATATACTGGTTAACTCTTGAGTACTATATATTTCAATGTACAATCCTCTGGCTATATTCTATCACAGGCAACAGCAGTTCCAACTTCATAGCAAATGGGGCCCCCTTTAGTCGCTCCGTTCCTGTGGCAAACAAACACCACAAAGAATGTCCATCACTGTCCCTTATGGTAAAACTGATACACAGACTGCCATCTCAGGAAAGCCAATAGCACATACATGCATGAAATGCATAAGGCAGCTATTAGAAGTGTCAAAACAAACAGTCTGACACTACAAATGCACTTCATAACTTCGTTGGAAGCAGCAGTTACAATGGATCAATAGTTGTAGACGTGATTAATCACATAAGGCACCACCAGTTATTTAGTAACAGGTCCCTCGTTATTTTCTGAAACTACAGTTCATAACAAAAACCACATTGGGCAGCTAAAAAGCAACCCAGATGAAATCTGAAGCTCAGTGTTGCGCTATGCACTCAACTCAGTAGGGTGACAAAACTATATCATTTCAGTCCATATAATGAGGAAAATGCAATGGCCAACTACTGTCAGAAGCTAACACTCACCACTATTAAAAATCAGTAAACCTGAATATCCTCCATATTGACCGGAAGTCTGATAAACCAAAGGGAACTGTTGGTTTAGTTCATTCTGAAAAAGGACTCTTTTCCACACCTTCAGGCATGTTGGGCATTCACAATTAGACCTATATTTTATTCACCAGTTGGCACATGGTGAGCGATATGGCTTTATTTTCCAAGACTTTACCTGGTACCCATTTAAGGCTGGGTCACCCTGGGAGCCATGGTCATTTTTGAAGAAAGAAGTCCGGTTTGGAACGGTACTAGTCTGCAGCAATTTCCTGGTGGTCAACCACAAATGTCCATCTAATCAAATAAAAGCTGCAGTGGGACCCAAATGGGAAAAAAATGAATACCCGTAATTGCAACATTTCATCTCAGAAACAACGCTCCAGCCACGCAAGTCAGATTTTCTAAACTCTAGACAGCAAATGGCACATTAGCTTAAAATTTATTGACTTTATAAAATTTGATTTCTTTTTTTCCCCGTAAGATTTGGAAAACTGGCTCTAACTGGACAACAGGGTTAAGAAAAAAAGATCTTAAAAAATAAATTTTGTGTGTTGCTTTAATATATTTCCTTCTAGGAACTACAATCTGAAATATAACAATACATGTCAACATGATGCTAATGCATCAGGAACCAAACTTAGATACACCATTCAATCTTATAAAATTAGTTATATAGTGCAGACCTGATAAGGAGAAACAACCAGGGATGCAAAAAATGTTTTTCTTTTCCAGATAAAAAAAAACAAGAAAAAAAAACTGTCGGGATTAACAAAAATTGTTCTTTAAACAGAAATTCACCACAACTGATACTGAGAAAGTGGACACCTCTGGTGTGCCTTCTGCTGTTATCAGGAGCATCACAGAACAGGGCACACACTAATGGTTGCTGAAGGCTGAGGACATAGTCTAAAGCCATGTGGATGTGGAAAGCAAGGGGAAACTACCACATTACTATCCCAAGAAAATTTAAAAAAAAGTGGTTAAACAGCGCTGTCCGGGCAAAGTTTGCAGTTCAAAATCTACCCAAAGTAATTCAGAATCCTCACCAGTGCTACGGAGTTTGTGAACTGCGCGGAGATTCTTCTGACTCAGGCTTGTGTTAGAAGTAGAACGGAGTACTTATGGGTTACCCACCTTGTGCCATGATGTTGATCCATTGTTTGAACAGAAACAGTTATCGTAAGAAACTCACATTTGAGACTACCTTAGGCGGTCTGCACTGAATTGGGGCAATTAGAAAATTGTATTGAGTCCTTGGATATATGAGTATTCAGAAGAATTTGCCATACATCAAATAGTCAAATACAAAGGTTCTGAAGAGACTAGGAATGAAAAGAGAGTTGCTTGAAGAAAATAAACAAGAGACAAGTGAAATACATTTGCAATATTAAAAGACTTATTAAAACACTCTAATAAAACAATACTGGAGGGAAAAGCTAACACAAGGAACGAACGAACGAACGAACAAACTTTATTTTCGAAGGGTTACAAATTGGGCACGCAGGCCCGTCTGACATTCGGCCGTTCTAAGCACTCATTTTTCAGAGTACCAATGCCTGTTATCAATAATGCATGTTATGGATCAAGGAGCAAAAGGTAGAAACTTATCTTCTATTAAAATATACTCCCAATAATATAGGAGTAGCAACTGATTCAAGTCTTACCTTTTATCAAATTAAACTCCAATTCCTAATAGTAGAGTAGCAACTGATCCAAGACTTATCTTCTATCAAAATATACTCCAATTCACAACAGCAGAGTAAGAAATGATTTAACCACTAACCTTCTATTAAAATATACTCCAGTTCAAAATCAGCAGTCACACTGTTATCAACCTGCAACAAATGAGAAACATATTTGTGGAGACAAGGTACAACTGATGTGTCTTTTAAATTTTTTTTTTTTTAGTCTGGTTGGTTTATGTTTGCAAAGTCAGCATGTTGGCAGGCATTATCTGTTTGTGATTGTGTGAAAACTCATGCTGTCTCTATAATGAAGATTAGCCATAATGGATTTCTGACACCCTCTGTCTCTCACAGTTGTTTGTGGGCTCTTTGAGACCACAGTTTGTGGACTCCATGGTGTTAGCATCCATGGCGAGGCGCAGATGCCATCTGGAGGTGACAGGTTCAATTCCCGGCACAGTAACAATAGCTTTCGATTGTTATGTTGTCTAGTGTGTTCTTCTACCTTTCTACTTCTTTCTATGAGTGCCGATCAATACACTTTCTGTTACTTGATTAATTCATAATATTTAACGGCCTCAAAGGTTTCCCCTCTGTTTATTTATAGGAATGACGTATATCCACCGGGAACAACCAATCAAATACCTTTCTCAAATGTTTGTGTATTCTAGACAAGGCATAAAGATCTACTGTGTTTGTATATTGTTGCTGTGATTGTTATTCGACATATACTTCGTTAATATAAATTTCTGTAACCTATGGTGCCATTTTCAATGGTTTGAAATGAATTCTGTCCGTATTCCATAGTTGGGAATTTCAAGCTGTACGATAGATATGGCCAACAAGACACCCCTTTTTTTTGGGGGTGTGCCTAGTTGACCATAATCTTAGTGCACTTGTATCCATGGCGAGGCGCAGATGCTGTCTGGAGGTGACTGGTTTAATTCCTGGCACGGTAACTATAGCTTTTGATTTTTATGTTGTCTAGTGTGTTCTTCTACCTTTCTACTTCTTTCTATGAGTGCCGATCAATACACTTTCTGTTACTTGATTAATTCATAATATTTAACAGCATCAAAGGTTCCCCGTCTTTTAATTTATAATAGGAATGTTAGCATACAGTTTATGCTCGCTCTATCTCCTGCAGAAACATTTCAAGATGTAGATGTAGCACTCTGGCTGCACACATGCTGTACTCTTGCTCTCATATTTCCTTTCACATCAGATCCACACAGCGCTCTATCTCCTGCAGAAACATTTCAAGATGTAGATGTAGCACTCTGGCTGCACACATGCTGTACTCTTGCTCTCATATTTCCTTTCACATCAGATCCACACATAATCAAATTCTCCCTGCGTGGGTTTTCCAGGACACCACTCTGGAGAACAGGGAATAGACCCAGCCCCCCCCCCCCCCCCCCCCCACCCCCAACCAGCATGCCACATGAAGCCAAATTAAGGACGCTTCCTTCAAAGTCAGAGTGCATCTGCCTAAGAGACAGGGAACCAACAGTCTGCATACAAATAAACCAGAGCTGTAAAACCGATGTGCATGCACAACTCAGGTTCTGGATAAAGACCAAAGTCCAGAAGTGGAGGAACAATCAGAATACTTTCCTCCTATAATTTACAGCTTGTGAACACCAAGAAAAAGAAGAAGACTAAATTCATGCAACCTTAGACATGTTGTCCCATCTGATATTGTACATTCCATCAGCATTCATTCATGTGGGAATGTTGATGACAAAGCCAGTTTTACCCATAATATACTAACTTCAAGCTAGACATTATTTTTGAATTCTCCCTCTTGGTAATAATATTAATAATAACAACAATTCTTAAGACTTTTAGTCACAAGCAACACATGTTGTGTGACTTGATTCATTCCTGTGAATTCAAACCATTACATGTGTTCTGCTGACATGTGGTCACAGCATACTAAAGAAATCTTGCTGCTGACGATGAGGATGAATTGCTAATGGGAATATCCCAAATACTATTATGTTCATTCTTAATTCAACATACTAAATAAATTTGTCTCCTTCCTGTGATCATTTTCACTGTTTATAACACTTTTGGTTCCAAGAAACATATTTTGTGCTGATTTATAACTAATTTAACTGTACTCTGGGACCCAAAGAGTTAATACTTGTTAACTCTTTGAGTCCCAAGGAATGCATCATACGTTCATAGATTCCTACCTAGAGGCCCAATGAACGTATGGCGCCGATTTTACGTCTCTCTTGACTACCTCTTGGGCCTGTGATGCTAAACCCCTGGGACTCAAAGAGTTAAGATATATATATTTTTTATAGTGATTATATAATCTTTAAGATGGCTGTGAGCAAAACCAGAAGAGATTGTGTGAAAAAATGAAGAGATTAGAAGAGCCATTGGCACAATAACCCATGGTAAATTCATTGAGAAATAAATTTAAAATAAACAAACAGACAATGTTTTGATCGGCACTCACAGAAAGAAGTAAAAACAGAGCATTGAGAAAAAAAAAGACTGAAATGGTTTAGTCATCTTGTGAGAAAGAACCTAGTGATGCTGGCGGTGGAAGGGTACATCAGGAAAATGGAAACACCAAGAGGCAGAGGGAGACATAAAAGAAGATGAACTGAAGAAGTCACTGATAGCTTAAAAGACTTCGCTACATCACAGCAACCACGCATGCCCAGGCTCAGCTGCTAATCATCTATTAAAGTTTTTATATCTACTAATGGCACAAAGAAGATACTGACAAAGAAAAAAAAATCTTTCCATGGACATATGACGCTAAAGTAATTGAGACTGAACGAGTTAGGCTGAACTACTCTAGAATGCTATGTCACTAACGTAACATAGTCAACAATCCCTGCGTCAGATTTAGTTAAAATCGATTTCTATAATTATTCTTAAAAAAAAAAAATTACAGAAACTTGAAATAGTTCCTTTCAGATGCGAATTAAAATAAGACATTTAACATTCCCTCAAGCAAGCGTAAAGGCGAGAAAACATAACCGTACCTCTTCGAGCAGAATGTTATCCAAATCATACGGGGAGGAAACAGACTCCACCAGCCAGCTTTCAGGTGTGTCCATATTCAGTGTCAGCAGTGACTTCTGTGGCATGTCCAGAAAGTGAGCAACTGGCCCTGCTTTCAATGACCCATCGGAGCCAAATGCCACTTCTGATTCCAAAACATACCGATAATAGCTGGGGGAAATGCCAGAATAACATTGGTCAATTCAACGATGTAACATTTCTGTAGTACACTGATCTTATACTTTTTCTTGGCATTCACCGGCTGTCCGTCCTAATATGGAACACAATTCTTATTTTTTATTTTAAATCCCCACCCTGACTGTCGTCGGGGGCCTTAAAATAACCTGACAGTTGAATAGGGTTTCCAGGACTACTACCCGAGTGATTCTCATTTGAGTGGTGGCACTTTGTGTAACCGGGTGTTTATCGCTCGTTGTGCAGTCCTGATGGGGTTGAAGGCTACTTTTCTGGCTCCTTTCTGTCATAGTGTATGTTTGTTTGTTGTCCGTATCGACATCCTAGCACACTGCTTCGACCCATTCGTGCTTTGTCTTCTGATGAGCAGCCATCTCAGTATCTCAATGAGCCCAGTAGGAGTTGACAGGTATATCTTTTCTTTTGCCCCACAACCAAGTTTCTGCATGCTTGTCCTCATTCAATACCCATTTCTAACAGTCGGCTCATAGCTTATTACCTCTTCGTCTCAAAGTCTCTAAAATGCAGTACATTCAGTACGTCTGCTCTGTCTTGACTTCTTCCTCCATCACCAGTGTAAACATGGTCAGTCTGTTGGTTCTTTCCTTTCCCTTTCACCCTGGTGTGTACAGCCAAGAAGTTTCTTGAGGCGGAACTTCTGACCCATTCTAGTCAGAGTTTGCCAGTTTGGATCTTCTTAAGCATGCTCAATGTGTCTGTAACTATCAATGCCTGAGTTTCTTTATTCTCTGCCAGCCACAGAAGTGCCCCTGTGACAGCTGCTATCTCCACTGTCATGTCAGAAGTAGTTGAACTGAATGCGCGACTCTCCATTTACCTGCACTGTGTGTGTCACAGGTCAGGGCTATTCTACTAGGTTTACCCAGGGGCCGAAATATTTAAAATATGGATTCTCATGGGCCAGAAGCCCGAGCCCAAGCATAGATAGCTCATTAATACAATACAATTGGTAATGATCCCCGGGTCACTAGCTAGGCCTCCAGGGGTTAGACTTGGCCTGCAGACCGCCAGTTGAATAGCCCTACCATAGATAGTTGTTACATGTGCATCAGCTGTCTGAACTCATGACTAAAATCCTTCAGCCCCTATGAATCCTATTTTCAGCATCACCAAATGTCTTGCCGACTGGCATGGGCGATCATGCCTCTCCACTTGAGATCTCCAACAACACTGATCAGCTCATGTGCTGCACACTCCTCCATGCCATGACAAAGGGCTCTCAACAATGATTTGTGTGGTCCCGTGGTCAAAATATGCTCTTTTTTCTCTCCTCACATGTGGCCCACAAAAATTAATAATTCTATCTTTCTGCTGTTTGTGATAACTTGATTTTGGGCCCTAAGCTCTTTCAAAATATCTGGGTTACTCATATCAACTGTCCAAGAAATTGTGAGCATTCTTCTTTAAGTATATTAACATCTCTGGTCTCAAACACAGGCAACACTGTGAATGCTTAGATTACAAGAAAGTAATTTCTTTCAAAACTGCATACTGGCAGATTTATTGTATTTTAAAAACTGGTTTTGATACTCCCAGGCTGACCCTGCTCAAAATTAGTACCAAGTAATGCCCTGGGAAGCCAAGGTGGCCAGCTAAACGCTGACCACATCACTCATAGAATGCCAGTTGGTGTATACATTCTTGTATCATTTGCCTGATGCGCCACTACCTTTAAATAAAAGGTCCTCTACCTCTACTATACAAATCCTTAAAAATACTATCTTCTTCTGCATGTTCACCGGTTGTAAACTCCTGTTAAAAGTTCGTCCACCTCCGGACTTTCTTGTTCCAGAACCTGAGTGTTGCGAGCACATCCAGTTCCCACATTTGGCTTATTTGTAATTAGACTCTTGGTTCCTTGTCTCTCAGGCAGGTATGCTCTGGCTTTGAAGGAGGCCTCCAAATTAGTTGACTCCTATGACTTTATTGTAAGGGAGGCATTAGAAGGATTCTTGTTTTCCCAACAACTGGGCCCCAGAACCCACTCAGGGACTTAAAAATACAAGAGATGAAGGGTTAAAAATACAAGAGATGAAACACTAAAAAATCCCTACCAACCAAAACAATTTATCTTCTGCCCTGCTTGTATTTAACAACGTTTAGGGCGATGTAGGATTGGGGGAAGGGGAAGGAGGGTGTCTTGAGGCTGAGGAATTAGGATAGCATGGCTAGTGCAATCTCTGCAGGTTATAATTTCATTTTTACTCCTGCAGAAAAATGCACCCCATTAAAAGGGATTTGAACCAGCCAGCCACTCCTCAAAGTAATCTGTATATAGTTAAAAAAGAAGAAGAAAAAAAACTAGCGACAAATTAATATCAAGTTTAACGTCCTTTTAAGAGAATCTACTGATTTGTCTCCAAAGTCACTGAAATATTTGTTACCTTTTCACTGGCATTTCTGAAAGTTTCTCTCTTGGATTGAGGAAAATTCTGACATCAACATTAGCAATCTGTTTCAGGACCTGAAAAATGAAAATAATAAATAACTCTCTCTCTTCCTTGTATTTAACTGCCTGGAAACACACAATCCTGTAGGCATGCAAATGCATACATACATATTTTCATGTATTTTACACTTCTTCTTGTTTTCTCTTTTCTTCAGCCCTTCAGCTCACTCGGTTTCCTCCCCATCATATTCCTCCTTTTCTCTTCTTCGTCTGTTCTCTTTTTCATTTAAGTAGATGAAATATATCTTGATGACTAAAACATTAGTATAGTTTTAGGATTTTCCTGTAAAACTGTCTAACCCGAAAATCATACACACAGGATGCAGAAGTACTGAACCAGGAGTGATCATACTGGTTAAGATTTATCTACACCTCTCTGAGGTCAACACAGAAACAGGTTCCCAACCGGAAACCGGGCTAACATAGATAGGATCAATGCTTCCTTCAAAAGAGTGCATCTGCCTAACGGGCAAGGAATCCCCAGTCTGCACACAAATAAGCTACATCTGTAAAACGGATATGCACACAACTATCAAGCCCTGGAACAAGACCAATGTCCAGAAGTGGATAAACAGCCTGGATTTTCCACTGGAGTTTACAGCCAGTGAACTCAATGAATAAGAAAGAGGGAGAAAAGAAGAAAAAAAAAAGAAGGAGGAGGAGGAGAATGAGAAGAAGAAGAGCTGACACCAAAGCTAAATAAACACAAAATATGAAAGGAAGCTCAAGGAAAAGGAAAGATTCAAATATATATTTGCAAACGTTTTCACCTAAGTCCTTATAAACCAACAAAGCAATAAGTATCCTTAAAAATTTTTTTTTATTTATACAATCCAACAGAGAAGTCATCCACATTTATTTTTGCCTCTAATGGAAACAATTTCCAACCCCATACTAAGGACTGAGCCCGGGTCTCCAACATCAGAGCTCGATGTTAAAACCACTCAGCTCCTTTAAGCAGTGATCCTTAGTCGCCAACTATTAAATCATTGATTTTTGTCGTTATGGTAGTTGCCGTGGCCAAGCGGCTAGACGTCTGCCGCGGATCAGAAGGTCGTGGGTTTGCTCCCTGGCAGAGCCGGACTTTTCTTCAAAAATGACCTTGGCTCCCAGGTCAACCCAGCCTTGAGTGGGTACCGGGTGCAGTCCTGAGAAGTAGAGGCGGCCGGCGTGATGCTGACCACATCATCCATCTTGTGCCGTTGGTCTATAAAAATATAGGTCTAGCCCTATATGCCCTATACGCCTAAAGGCGTGGAAAAGGGTCATTTACTTTTTTTTGTTTTTTTGGGTCATTATAAAATTAAGAAAGGAAAACATATAAATGTAATAAAACCAACCAAAAGAATCGCTGACATTTTCTGTGCTGTCCTGGAGGCAGGGTCTACAATCGCTTCAACAGTGAAAGCAGGAATGTTGGCGTCTGCTGGCAGTTTAACCACACTGCAAATGTGTCAAACAAAGCAACATATATTATTATTTATATATGAAAGGATTTCTACAGCATTATTTCTTTGTCATGCACATCATTGTTTTTTAAAATTCTTTCTCCTTCTGTGTAGGTCGGTAATCAAACATAACGACATAGGTAGAAAATGTTTAATATACTGAATGCAGTTATAGTGAACAGGGGTATAAAGTATAAAGGATTGACTTCAATGCAGTGGGTGTTATCCAATTTAGCCCAGCATCTCTAAAGAATGAAAACTGTGAGTGTCACACAAAGCACAAACTCCGCAGCTCCTGTGATGATAGCCAGGAATCTTCATAAAAACTGAATGCGTGAACCGAAGGATACAGCCCGTGAATCAAAACCTGGGACCTTCACAGCATGAGGCTAACAGTTTGTCCACTTCACCACAGAGACTCTCAATGGTTTAGCCAAAACTAAATGAACCCATGATAGTAAGTATGTCTATGATACATTTAATTTCTTTTACATAACCAGTGCCATAAATAATTATTTCTCTGGAAAAATAAACTATACACAGAAATTATACTCTAGTATCCATACTACAAGAGATGGATGAACTGTCCCACACAACAGAATAAAAAAGCCCTCTCTAACAGCATTTTCAGCACAGGGCTTCTGTGCTGCCCCAGCACAAGTCAGTGGCCAGACAAGCACACTGCTTGGCTCAACAATAATTACTAGGATTGATTCTTATCACTTTAGGTCCTGAGCGCAGGGACTGGCCAGCTGTGGCTGCAGAATCAGAAGCTCAACAAATGATTTATGACAGTTTCCGCCCAAGTGTTGTGATTATCTATACAGATGGCTCTGTGCTGAGGGGCAGATGAAGTGCATGGAGGGGGCGGGGGTGTCATTGCAAATGCGAATGGATGTCACTTGGTGCAACAAAATCTGGCATATGATATCACAATGTCTAGTTTGAGGATGGAGGTGGAGGCAGTCATTGCTGCCTTCCGCTGGCTTGAGAATCAGCTGTACACACATGCCGTAATTGTAACTGACTCACAGAGCATGTTGAGAAAGGTGGGGACAGGCATGCTACATGGCAAGCATCACTTCAGAGGTCCTGGATAGTTAGCATCCTTTGGATATTTTCTCTAGGTTATGCCGGTGTGTTAAGGAAATAAGCAGATAGACTGGCCAGTTCTGCACCATTTGGTGGTGAATTTATGTATGACAAGCTCGATGTTGTGAGGGCCCTTCAAGAGCGAGTAAACAGTGTGGAGGCATAGACAGATCATTACAGTCTGAGGAGAATGGCGCTGCGAGGATTTACCAAGAGATCGGGATACTGCTCAACACCCAAGGGAAAGGCGAGACGGATACACAATCAGACAGTTACTGGTGCCATCGAAACTGGAACTCTTCGCTTGCTGCTGAAGCTGGGAACGGAGTGTTTATTGGAGTGTCTCAAGTGCAATGATGTCAACTCTTAATTCAACATTCAACATTCCACTAGAATTGAATTTTGGATGTCTGGACAAATGCTTGTATTTAACAGTTATGAGAAAAAGAAGAAAAAACTATATATTGGGCACATTATTTGCTGAAGCTGACAGAGAATCACTAAACAGGCAGTGAAATGGGAAACAGAAGGACTGAGGAAACATGGACGTTCCTAAGATGAACGCTGCAGAGAGGCCAAAGGTGCTGGACTAGATTCTATCCATGCTATCAAAAGGACTGCAAAGAATTAGAACGGAATGGAGGATCAGACTGCAAGCCGTATGTGATGAGTCAGCCCAAACAGAAGATGATGATGATGATGATGATGATGATGATGATGATGCTAGTGAACTATCGATCTCGTCACAACAGCTTGAGGACCCTTTTCCACGCCTTCAGGCGCACTGGGCATACAGTGCTAGACATGTGTCTTATAGACCAATTGGCACTCAGCAGGTGACGCGGTCAACATCATGCTTTTACTTCCCAGGACTTGACCTGGTACCCACTTAAAGCTGGGCTGACCTGGGAGCTAAGGTCATTTTTTTTTTAAAAGTCGGGCTTTATTCAGATTTGAACCCACAAACTTTAGATCTAAAGGCGAGTGTTTAGGCACAACACCACAGCGTCCCCCCACAACAGCTTGCCACCAATATAATATTTTCTTTATTTTTATTAGGACATTCACTTTCATTTGCCACTGCTTATGAGGAGAAATACACTTTAAAATTTAGTGACAACTGCTAAACTTGATGTAAAAGAGTAAAGAAAAGACAAAGTGATGAATTTATAGGGGGTCTTTGTGGCAAAGTGGTCAAGACATTTGCCACGCACTCTGTAGGTCGTGGGTTCATTTCACAGTGGCACCATACAGTTCACAAGTGCAATTTGTACGGAGATCCCTGGGGATCGTCGCAGGAGCTACAAAGGTCATGCTCTGTGTGACGCTCTCGGCAGGCAGCTAGCTGTTCTGCGGAGAGATAAAACCCTACACAATGAAGTCAATAATCTCACCTTTACCTTTAAGGAGATGAATACATATTTGCTTCACCAAATGGCACAATCATGACAAGAACACAAACCTGATCTGATACCCCGGTGATCATCTAAGGTAGCACACTGCTGAGCTGAGTTGTTAAAAACAGATATCACAGCACCTGGGATATTCCCATAAACACTCAGTTCCACCTTCAGCAGCCAACGCATAGTTCCAATTCTGACAGCACAATCAGCAATCCTTCCTGTCCACTGAATGCTGGTCAGATCCTCTGCTCCCTGCTGCACCGTTCTCTCCAACCCATGATGACCTATCTGTGCTTCTGCACCGTTCTCTCCAGCCCATGATGACCTATCTGTGCTTCTGCACCGTTCTCTCCAGCCCATGATGACCTATCTGTGCTTCTGCACCGTTCTCTCCAGCCCATGATGACCTATCTGTGCTTCTGCACCGTTCTCTCCAACCCATGATGACCTATCTGTGCTTCTGCACCGTTCTCTCCAGCCCATGATGACCTATCTGTGCTTCTGCACCGTTCTCTCCAGCCCATGATGACCTATCTGTGCTTCTGCACCGTTCTCTCCAGCCCATGATGACCTATCTGTGCTTCTGCACCGTTCTCTCCAGCCCATGATGACCTATCTGTGCTTCTGCACCGTTCTCTCCAGCCCATGATGACCTGTCTGTGCTTCTGCACCGTTCTCTCCAACCCATGATGACCTATCTGTGCTTCTGCACCGTTCTCTCCAGCCCATGATGACCTATCTGGGCTTCTGCACCGTTCTCTCCAACCCATGATGACCTATCTGTGCTTCTGCACCGTTCTCTCCAGCCCTTGATGACCTATCTGTGCTTCTGCACCGTTCTCTCCAGCCCATGATGACCTATCTGTGCTTCTGCACCGTTCTCTCCAGCCCATGATGACCTATCTGTGCTTCTGCACCGTTCTCTCCAGCCCATGATGACCCATCTGTGCTTCTGCACCGTTCTCTCCAGCCCATGATGACCTATCTGTGCTTCTGCACCGTTCTCTCCAGCCCATGATGACCTATCTGTGCTTCTGCTCCGTTCTCTCCAGCCCATGATGACCTATCTGTGCTTCTGCTCCGTTCTCTCCAGCCCATGATGACCTATCTGTGCTTCTGCACCGTTCGCTCACTTCCAAAGGGCCTCAGCCTCATATAGCCTGTCCTCAACGAGCTTATCACCAGTCAGGATGGCAAAACGGTGACCTACTATGCATTCCAGCATCTCAAATGATGATATTTCCCACAAATGATAACTCCAATCTGATACAGGGAAGTTCTGTAATTCCCTTCACAGTGACTCTGCTCCAAGCTGACATATTTTCACATTATGAACTTCACAACTTTCATGACGTGATAAACAATTATTTAAATATTTTGACTGGGGAGGGACTTTTTTGGGAACATGCGATATTTGCACCTCACTGCTAAAGGCACAGTGGTACTACAATAGTCAGTGCGCCCACAAAAATGTCAACCCGAATGAGAACTAGAACTGGTCAGCTTCACAATACCACAATCATGAATGTCAAAGTAAACACAATGAATATGGCCACTTGGGCATGCACTGACCAAATTTAAAACTTGAGAGAACACATTATGTTCTCCTCAGTCTGTGACCCATGAGGAGATCCCATACATGCTGTGTTGGATAGTTAACTCTTTCAGTCCTTGACATGTAGTTCTTCAAGTCTTATCTCTGAAGCATTTGTTACGATGATATGTTTTTGGATCCGAAGGTGTTCAAATAATAACACAGTGGACTTCTTCGTAGCGTTCACAGGCTGTAAACTCAAGCAGAAAGTTCTGCTAGTCTGTCCACTCCTGGACTTTGGTCTTAATCAAGAACTTGAATTTTGCCTGCAATCCATTTTACAGATCTGGCTTATGAGTATGAAGCAGATGCACTCTGAAGGAACCCCCCCACCCCCACCTTCCCCAATTAGTCGCTTCCTACAATGTGCTTTTAGTTATGCAGTGGGTCTCTATTCTTTGTTCTTCATAATGGAGCCCTGGAGCCCACAAGGAGAAACACAACAGGACAAAAATAACTGAATCAACAGTTGGGATGAAATGGTTTGAGGCAGCAACAGAACAGGGTAAAAGATGCTCAGCAAAGCATATCAAGCATGGCAAAATCAACATAAGCATCTTGAGTTGCTTGGCACTAAAAGTTGTTTTTTAAAAACATACAACTAACCTGTGTTTATCATCAGCAAAGCTTAGCTTGTGTCTCTTCTCTGATTTGCCCCTTGACATAAGTAAAGCAGACGCCTTCATTGTCAGGTCACTGGCTCTTTAAAAGAAAACAACAAAATTCATAAGAGTTAATATACTCCCTGGGTTGATGTGGAATACAGGGGAAACCACACTTACAATGTTTTCATGGATTCTTTTTCTTTTCTTTTTTACATTCACCAGCTGTGAATTCCAGTGTAATATCATGGTTGTTTGTCAATTTGGACTTTGGCTTTTTACCAGAACCTGACTTTTTAATGTACTTCAGTTTTACTGACTTATTTGTGTTTCGTTCATGTTCCCTGCCTCTCGGGCAGATGTACTCCGTCTTTGATGGAATTTTTACGGATTATACTAGGTCAAGTCAGAAATATGGTTATATTAAAGAAAAAGAAAACACCATGATGTGATATTACAACAGGAGGGAAAGTAGCCAATAAATAAAAATACAACTACAATGGGGACAGGGGAGGCAATAATAAAACCAATAATGTGTTCTCAAAAATAGAATGCATATAGAAAAGACGTTATAGGATGTACATTTGAGAATACAAGATGTACACAGAAACTAATTATGTGGATATGGGAAGAGTACAAAGTACAATGAAAGAGTGTACATTGTACACAGCAGAATGTACACCAGTTAAAAGCTGTAACTCAGAAGACACAAAGCAAATTTCCCCCCTTCCCCCCTTATTTTTTTGAAGACATTAAATAAAACTATTTCAAAGGACACTAAACAAGAAGAACTTGAGTTCTACATATAATGATACATTTCGACTTTAAAGGAAACACCCCTTATCAGTCACCTTATTCCTTTTTTTTCTTCTTCTTTATTTTTGTATTTTACCCTACAATGGTGGTTCGGAATATACACAGGGGAATTTTTGAACTAATCCAGAATAGTTCCAGAAAAACAAAAACATTTAAGGAATAAACAAAACTCACTTATTGAGATCCGGTTCGATGTTTGTGACAGCATCTGCTATTTTCTGCCCTCCTTGTTGGAAAGAAACTTTTTCCAGCAAGTTGATGTCATCAGCCACCAGTTCTTCATCTTGTGCCAAAGGACCCAGGAACTAGTGATATAGTGATATGCAGATGCTGGTACATATATATGATGCTTCTGGGGTTAAAATAGTATGGGGATATATGGGAGGTGACTGCTGTTGAGTTGGTACACTGAATGCATGCACACACAAACACACACAAATATTAACATTTAAAAAAAATATTACCCAAAAAAATTATTACCCAAAAAAAAAAAAAAAAAAAAAAACTGGGAGGCTCAGCAAAAGGAAATACATCTTCTGCATTTGCTCTTAGGTGGTTGGCAGGTGGTGTTGTTTACAGCAAGGATGTGTCAACTGCACCTTTGAACCCAGCAAATCTGATCTTCTTTATTTTAACAGCTCCAGCTACCATGATGAAGCTGACTTTTCTTTCACAGCCATTATATCTTGCTCAGCTTACTGCATCATCTGTCTTTTTAGGCCTTTTTAATCCAGCTTGGAAGAAAAATCATCTTTCCTTGAACATGAATGGACATGTTCATGTTAATATATTTTTGTTTTATTTCTCTTTCAATCACACTTTCAAGATTTATGTTTCTGGAAACCAAACTGTTGTTGTTGATATTTTCATTGTCATTATGAAGGCTTTTTCTAAAGGTCTGGTTTTTTCAAAAAGGCTTCTGTAGTATTTATTCCCATTTCTTTTATTGAAAAAGACTTTGGTTAAAATGTCTGCTTATTGTCTGTGTATATTCCCTTTCACCAAACTTCTTAGTTGCTGTTTGTGTAGCATTCTAAAGTTGTCAGTACACTTGCTCACTAATACAGAGGTCTGGGGTGAATCCTCAGGAGCTTCAAGAGTCCTTGATGATCAAGGATTTATCGAACCTCATCAAAGGATAACTCTCAGATGTTGTTAGAAATTATCTGGGTAGGAAAAATATTAATGGAGGAACTGTTCATCTCAACTCACTATGTAGTATTCTGTTATATGAGAAGGCCTGACAACTCACATTCTGCAACAGTTATCTGCCATGGGCTTATTGTTAATATATGTGTGTGCAGACATCTGTGGTTCAGGCGTTCCAAATGTGCTTCATAATTCCAAGATGCAGGGTTCAGCCCCAGCTGCAGGCAATCTAGCAGCAGACTACTTTGCGTTGGTTTTGAGAGCCGATGATTCAAAAAGCAATGGCAAACTATTGAACAGAACATTGCCTGGTGACATCCCTAACAACCCAAAAAAAAATGCTGCCTGTGGTTTTGCAGCATCCTGTAAAGTATATTCAGCTAGCTATATGATTGTTATGTGTACACATGAATGCATGGCCAATAATAAAGCAATAGCTACTACCCTTGCTACCAACCACAGGGCCATGTGTTCGAATCCTCTATCTTCTTCTTCTTCTTCTTCACCTTCACCGGCTGTAAGCTCAAGCGGAAAACTCTAGTTGTTACTCCACTTTTTTTTTTTTTAAGGATGGCTCTAGTTCTAGAATTTGAGTTTTGTGTGCACACCTGTTTTACCGATCCGGCTTACTTGTGTTTAGACTATTGGTTGACTGCTTTCAGGCAGTTGCAGTCCAACCTTTGAAGGAAGCATTGATTATGTTTACGCTGGCCAGGCCCTCCCCAGTAGGGAGGATGCACCTGTATTTAGGATGACTACAGAGAGTTGGAGGCAAGTGCACCTCTGCATCCTAAATCAGGAGGGGATTTTTTGTTGTTAATGTCCTCTATTCCCAGGTCAGTCTGGTCTAAAACTGGCTTAAGGAAGGTTCCCTGGGAAGAAAAAGTGACTGGCGTGATACTGACCACTAGGGCCTTTTTTGGGGGGGTTGCAATATGCATTGGTACCCAGTATAGACATCGCTTCTTTTTTAAGGTGACATTTTTTTCCAGCACTACTGTAAAAGGCACTTTTTAAGGAGTACCTTTTTAAAGACATGTTTTGGTGAGTCCGGCACCTTTCATAAAGGATAAAATCCTTGCTGACCACATCAGCCAAACGAATATTGATCAGTCTTAAATACAGCTGAATATATTCAATATGTCACGATTTCAAAAAGGATCCATTATTTTTATTACGTGTATGTGTATGCATACAGACAGCATATTTCAAATATTTGCTCTTGACCATGAATTATTACAAATCATAAAGATGGCAAAACAATCCTAAGATTTAAAAAAAATGTACAAAGATACAACAGAAAGGATAACTGGGTGTTAAATATAATATCCAGTTTAAAAACTGCCTAATCCAGTTGGAAAAAGTAAAAACAATTTATTTGCTCCCAGGCACAGTTTTGTTGTTGTTGTTGTTGTTGCTTTCATCGCCTGTTAACTCTGGTGGTAAGTCACGGTTGTTCATCCATTTCTGGAATTGAGTCTTGTTTCAGGACCAGAGTCTTGCATGTGCATCCATTTTACAGATCTAACGTATTTGTATGCAGACTGTTGGTTCCTTGCATTTTAAGCAGATGCACTGCCACCTCAAAGAAAACACCCCTAAATAAATTAGACACCTCCTACAACACGCCCCCCCCCTCCCCACCCCCATAATGGAGGCCTCTGAATCAACACAAGGAGCTTTCAGACAGAATGAAAGGGTAAGGTTGGGGGAAGGGGGGGGGGGTGGAAGTAAAGTACAATGTTTCTGCCAGTGGCACATTGGGCATGTGATGTTAGACTCATTCTTTTATAGACAAACTGGCCCTCAATGAGTAATGCGGTCAACATCAGGCCAGCCACCGTTACTTCCCAGGACCTTACCCAGTACCCACTCTAGGCCGAGTCCACCTGGGAGCCAAAGTCGGTCTGAAGAAAATATCCGACTTGATGAGCATTTGAGCACAAGACCTTGGGCCAGCAGGTGAGAGTCCAATCACTACACCACCTTGGTTGCAGCAACAACAGTTTAAAGGATACGCCAGAAATCCTCATAGCAGTTTAGAAAAAAAAAAAAAAAATCAAAGAAAGAATTAATGAACAAACACAAAATCCACAAAAGCTCAGAAAAGGGTTAGCCACAGATGCAAGCAAACATTTAAGCCAGTCTTCATCAAAAAAACAAATCAAGATTTACAACAACAACAAAAAAAAGTTTTTAAAAAACATATTCATAAAATTTCAAGTGGATGTTCCAAAGCCCCTTTGAAAAAAAAAAAGGGGGGGGGGGGAAGAGAGAGAGAATACACCCATGATTAATTAGGGGATGCTGCAACTGGATGTTTTGGGTCAAGAGGTGCAGCAGATATCACCACTTAGTTGTAAACCACAACATAATGTGCCAATCATCCTTTAAAGAACACAGAAAAAGGAAATTTTTTTTTTAAACCACAAAGATAAAAAAAAGACCAATAGAAAATACATGAAGGACATACCGCTCCATTGACCAACACTCCTTTCTGCCCAGGCCTCAATGACAACACCTTGGAAGCAAACAACTGATGAACCTGTAAAAAGTCTGTGGATGCAGCATTCAGGGCTGCAGTGTATGCATCCATATCCATGCCCTGAAACCAAAGAATGGTGATGCGTGTACAACATAATGAGATGCAGAACAACAACATGTGGCAGCCCCATCGCAGGATGGAGTACAAGCCATTAGGGTTTTTTCTTCTTCTTCTCCACTTCCTCTATTACTGCTTCAGGTGTTGAGGGAGATATCAGGTTCAGCTTCTTGCTCTTTTGGCGTTGTTGTAGAGTTTCTCTGATGTTATACTTCCATCTTGTTCTATCTTTTGCTCTATGTAGGACTTGTATGGTAAAGTAGGCAAACCATTTGATTTGCTGTCTATGTAGGTAATTTAGAAATGGTTCTGTGCAAATTTTAATCTTATGACCTCATTCCTGATTTTTTCTCTTCTGGTCGACCTCATTCCTGATTTGATCTCTTCTGGTCACTCCTGCAAGTTTCTACTAGAAGAAACCATTATTGAGGTGAAACTTCTGGACTCTTTTACCTTCCTCTACACTCTATATGACCAGTTATATGTCACTGGTTCCTTTTGCACCTGAGCAGCATTTAGGAGGCCCAGATGTGAATATATTTACTAAAAATAGCATTTAAGGTGGTTTTCTTGTGAACCAAATAATTTTTTTTATTTTAAAACCAGTGATATCACAACTTGAGTTGAGTCAAGAATTGCCATCACAGCACTCAAGGCATTCCTATGTGTGCTCCGTCCTCATCTTCAGCAGCCAGCGCAGAGTTCCAATACTGATGATACCGGTCACAATCTGGTTATGTATCCGTCTTGCCTTTCCTCTGAGTGTAGTGAGAAAGTCTGACCCTTTGGTTACACCCAGGTGCCTCATTCTCTCCAGGTCATAATAATCTTGTTTCTCTGCCAATTCTGTTGCTTGTTCCCAAAGGGCCTTGACCACATCTGCTTTGTCATGTATCAATTCACCACCCAGTGGTGCAGATCCAGCCAATCTGTCTGCCTGTTCATTACCCACCACAGATTATCATAACTTACTGCAGCGTCAGTGACAGAGGTCTTGTGGTCATGGTGTGATTCAGCTATTACATATTTTCTTTTAGGCCCTAGGGAATAAATTCCATTTTGTGCTTCTATTCTATCACCTTTATCATTTTGAGTACCAATAATTCCCCGTGCATGTTCTGGAAACCTGATCTAAGTCCAGAAATCGTTGAACAACCAGAACTTCCCGCCACAGTTTAAAATCAGTAACACTAAGAAGAACCAACAGTACAAATTCACTGTTTCAAAACCAAACACAATAAGAATATGCAGAACTGTACAGACAAACACTTCACCAACAGAGATACAGCAACTTACATGCACTTCCAAATCCTTGAGGGTTTTCCTCCCAGCCACCAAGTCCTGGATGTTCTCCTCCTTCACAAGCTTGGTCACCAGGCTTTTGGCTATTGGTGCTGGCAGGGTCTCCAGGGCAACGTACACAGCCTTGTTTACTGTGTTCTCTGCTTTCAATGACTGGGCATTAAATATGATACCCAGTCGCAAGATGTTGGAGGATTTCTAAATAGTCAGACAAAAGGCAAATGTTTACAATATTTTGACTTATTTTTTTTTAGAAATCCCCCCCCCCCCCCCCCCCCCCCCCCCAATAACCATGTCATATCCTCATAAATACTGCTTAACCGGCACAGCTGCAGTGACTTGTCTCTGAGAAGCCTAATTACCGGCACTGGTTGTTTATGCCTGTGCAGTGTTTAGGAGGCCCCGAATGAGATATTTACTTTTTTTTTTTTAAAGCATTTAGGGAGGTTTTACTGTGACACAAAAAAGCCAAATAAGGCCTTTATGACATTATAACTTACCTAGACTTGGTACTGGCGTAGTGAACTGGGTCATGGGTCAAGTATGAGCTACCGTGCACATTTTCTAAAGGACCAAGTGAGTTTTATTTATTTAATTTTTCCATTCTGTTCATATTCACTGGTTACTCTCCTTCAAATTTGTTCCAAAACATGAAAAATGTAAATCAACACATTTTAAAACATTTTAGTGACCTGTGTAAAATTGCTTTTTTTTTTTTTTAAAGTGATTTTGGAGTAAGGGGGTGTTCATTACCAGCACAGAAGATTTTTCTCCCTAGGGTTTCTGGAGCAACATTTAACAATGAGGACATAAACAATGCACCGTACAATTTCTCTGCATCTCGTCAGGCACAAACTAGAGAATTTACACTTATAATGAAGCACAAAACTGGGACCTTTTGACTCAAATACAGCCAAATATCATTGGCACTATGCCAAACTCAGCTTAAGTGCTAAATCATTCTTTTAAGAAAATCATGAGCCAACACTGAGATCAGATGAAAACTGTGTGACTGCGTAAACAAGTAATACTTCATTTTGGCCTATTTGGAGTAGGAGTTCACAAGTGTGCCTCTGAAATATTGCAAAGTAACAAATAACAGCCCTGAAAATGCAGTTTGGTGACAACAATATCGGCAATTGAAACTTCTGAGCTGTACTTAAATTAATGACATAAGGATAAACAATCCCATGTTACGTAAACAAAAAGATCAAGTGGTTAATCCAGTCCGTCTGTGGTTTGTTCAACATGGGTAGAACCACGAGATACTGACCAGAAGAAAAAAAATGCTGTCAGAGCTGGATACTGAGCCTTGACCGCTCTCTATGAAACTATCAAAAACAAATAAAATTAGCTTTCCCTGCAGAGTCCCACCATTAGAAGGGGAAGGGGGTTACATGTGTCAAAAAGAACAGACCCAAAATGCCCCTCCTTCCTTCTAAACAAGTAATGGGCCCTTTTCCACGCCTTGAGATGGTTTGGGTATATAGGACGAGACCTACATTGTACAGACCAATCAGCACTAGGTGGGTGATGTGGTCAGCATCACACCAGCACCCTTTACTTCCCAGGACTGTACCTGGTACCCGCTCAATGCTGGGTTGACATAACAGCCAAGGTCATTTTTTGAAGAAGAAAATAGAAACCAGTCTCAATCAGGATCCGAACCCACAAAGTTCCGATCCACAGGTGACCGTCTAGCCGCTACACCATGGCCGCTCTCCCTTCCCCAACAAGTATGTCGTAAAAGGTGACTTCTTCTTCTTAGCATTTACCGGCTGAAAACTCTGGTGGACAATCCTGGTTGTTCGTCCATTCTGGACTTTCTCTTGTTTTTGATTTTGCATGCACATTCGTTTTATAGATTTCTTGGTTCCTTGCCTCTAGGGCAGATGCACTTTGGCAAACACCCCTTATTAGTTGCCTTCTATGACGTACTTGTTTGGGGGGGGGGGGGGGGGAGTGAACCTACTGCCAACCTCCCCAAATGGGGCTCAAAATTCACACAGGAAGGTATAAAAGGTGACATATTAGAGATTCTTCCTTCAAAGTTAGAGTGAAACTGCCTGAGAAACGAGAAACCCACAACCTGCCTACACACACAAAAAAGGCTAGACCTGTAAAACGGATGTGCTCTGGAACAAGATTATTTTTCAGAAGTGGATAAACAACCGGAACTTTCTTCCAGAGTTTACAGCCAGTGAACACTAAGAAGAAGAAGAACAAAATCCTATTTATAATGGAGAAGAATGCCCACCAAGTGCTTGATAGCTGTGTACATAAATGATCTGCCATCTTCTGTCTCCAGGTCACAGACAACATGCAGAGTTACAGGTCTCAATGCGTCTCCATCTGGACATGTGAAAGAAGAATAACAATCATTTCTTAACAGCAAGAATAACACAAACATCTTCATTCTAATACTTCTCCTGGTTTACTCCTTCTTCTACTTCTTAAATTTTTCTCTCTCATGTTGCTGTATCATCATCTTCTTCTGCTGCAGCTGCTGCATCTCCTTCTGTGGTGTACCTTCTTTCTCTCCTTATGATGGTGCATCTTTTTTGAAAAAATTCCAGTCTTTGTCGTGAAGCATAAACATGGGGCATGAGATTTCATGTTTTCAAGTTAATGCCATACGTCAGTGTTTTCCAAACTTTTCTTAGTATTAATTTAATTAAATTAAAGATTACGCTAGAAAAGCAGGAGTGGGCATAGGGTCTTGCCACATTATTCCATGAAGGGGGGGGGGGGGGGGGGAAGGGGGGGGGTGGGGGGGGGGGTTGCAATCTGAAAAGGTTGAAAACCACTGAGATAGGCAGTGTCCCAGTCTAAATGTGACAAGCTCACATACCATATGTATATATAGTGTACAATTATTCTGTTATTTAGCAAGGTCTCTGACTTCTGTTTCTTTATTGGGTCCCCCCCCCCCCCCCCCACCCCTCCCTCAAAGACAATTTTTATGCCACTGATCTATCAGACATATTGTGCTAGACCCATATTTTTGTACACCAGTGAACATTCAATGGATGATGTGGCCAATATCGTACTGACTGCCTTTACTTCTCAAGTTATTTCCTGGCATCCATTTTAGGCTGGGTCAATATGGAAACCCTTAATCAATTATAAACATCTGCCTCATTGTGAATGTGAACCTAAAGATCGTTGACCTGAGGGCCAAGACTCTAGCCATTGTGTTACCTCAGCTTAAATGTTTTCTAAACAGCAAAAAGTGAAAACATGCGAATGTGTTAACATTTTACTTAAAATATTAAATAAGCTGAATGGTGAAATTACCTTTCTTTGTCAGATAATGGGAACTATCCAACAAGGCAGACGTCAGCTCTCTGGAATTTAGTTCAGAAGCCAGAGCTGGAATTTTGGCCAAGGCCGTGCCTGTTTGTGTGTAAACAAGAAACAAAACGTTTACAAATATCTGTCCACAAACAAGTATTCCTAGACAGAGGCGTTCAACAGAGACACAATCAAACAGAAGTAGTTAAGTAAATAATATACCTTAAAAATATATTTCATAACTAATTTAGATGAAGTAGGTCAGGGCTATATTACTGGCAGCCCTCGGGCAAAATTTGGCTCCCGGAGACATAGAAATTGGCCCGTGGATCATTGCCACTTGTATTGTATTAATGATCTTTCTGTGCTGGGGCTTGGACCTCTGACTATTCCTACTTTAACAATTGTGGCCCTTGAATAAGCTTAGCTGAATAGCCCTGCACTAGGCTGATGTAACATCTATCTGTGATAGGAGTTAGCAAGTGCTTCATCTTCTTCTTCTTAATGTTCAGTGGCTTTATTAAACTCCTGCGGAAAGTTCTGGTTGTTTATCTACTCCTGGACTTTGTTCTGGGCCAAGAAGTTGAGGTTTTGCATGCAAATTCATGTTACAGATATGTCTATAGAGATTTGTGGTTTCTTGCCTCTCAGGCAGATGTACCCCCTAATTAGTTGCCTCCTATAACATGTTAGGGAGGCAGTGGGTCTATTCTTTGAACCCCAGAACCCACACTTAGAGCAAGGGCTTCACGCTTTCTTCAGATTTACCAAGAAATGTATCAGTTAAATGTATCAGGTTTTTTTTTTTTCTTCTTCTGAAATAGTTAATTCAGCCTTTTTCTTTCTGTCTGCCTCTCTTCTTCTCTCATTTGCCTGGCTTTCTCTCTCAGTCTGTCTCTGTCTCTCAGTAAAATACATTATCATCCAATGTCATCTCTACAGTAAAGGCTGGAGGTAACTTTATCCCTAGTAGTTTCCAGCTGAAACCTTCACAGAAGGTTCTACTAGGCTCTATCCTGACCCTAGCCTAGTGTTAGTCCACCCATTTAAATCTTTAAAGCCTTCTGGCTCTACTGTACCTTAACTTCCCTCTCCTTTATGTCTTTCACAAGCACACTAAAAGGCAATTTTATATTTAAGGGATAAAAACCACACCTGTTTTATACATACTTAAATATTAGTCTAATTTAATTTCAAAATTTTTTACCTGAAGCTCCGGTCAAGTCAAGCCTGAGAGACGGAGGTGCTAAAATTCTAGAATTTAGTCGAGGCAGAACGTTGTCCCTTTCCATCCACCAGTCCAAAATGTCGTTATTGTCTGACACTTCACCCTAAAAACACATAATATCAAACAGGCAAATGAGAGCACTTAAAGTTTGTCTCTCGTAATGTATACGGCAGAATATAATCAGTAACTCTATGTTGCGGTGTGAACAATTTTAGTAAAACATGTAATCTTTTCTTGAACATGTTAACAGAAAATAATGCCTGCAATGATCTCAAGGTAAATGTGTGATAATAGAATGAGATTTGTAAAATGAAGAAAAGGAGACTTTTCCACACCACTAGGTATACTCAGCATACAGGGCTAGACCTATATTTTATGTGGTCAACATCACGCTGGCCATCTTTACTTGATAGGACTTTACCTGGTACCCATTTCAGACTGGGTCAACATGGCGGCCAAAGGTCATTTGTTAAAAAATGTGTCTCGGTGCGAATTTGAATATAAAACCTTCAGGCCCTAGGCAAGTGTCTAGCCTCTACACTGCAGCGGCTCCCAATGAGATCTGTAACTGTTTTGTTTTGTTGTTGTTATTTCACATGTGAGTTGAATGTTGAATTAAGGCAGACAAGAATGTGTAATTCTCAATTATTTTCTGGGAAGGAGTTGGGTGTCTCCTTGATGTGATAGTTTAGTATTTTGCTCTGAAAGTTGTGTTATTCCACCTGTGTAAGTTCCAAAACGAAATGGAGGTATTAAGAACAAGCTGGCTACAAGAAAAGCAGCTGCTGGGAGACTCTTCTAGGCCATAAACCGAGGGTTTCTTAGCAAAAGAGAAATTGGCAAGAGGACAAAAATGGCTGTTTACCGCTCTACCTATGTACCAGTCCTGACATACAGGTGTGAGTCATGAGCAATGACAACAGCTCACAGAAGCCAGCTTCAGTTCTCAGAAATGAGATATCTGAGAAAAGTGGTCCAAGTGACAAGAAGGGACAAAGTCACAGTCACAGTTACGATGGTTTGGACATGTGAGAAAATCGGCCACCATGGCAGGCATGGGAGGCTAAGAACCAAGGAACCAGACCTCCAGGGTGGCCCAGGGTGCGCTGGGAAGACAACATCCGACAGTCCCTAACTGACAGAGGAGTGGAATAGAACAAAGCCAGAAAGAGAACTGCTGATTGAGACGTCTGGCGATCTCTCTGGCAAACCTCTACACCCCAAGGTAGAAGAGGAGCGACTAAGTAAGAAAGTTCTAAAGTCCCATTTTTGTGTGCTGGGGGGGGGGGGGGGGGGGGGGGGGGAATAGACCTATTGCATGTCATAAGAGGTGACTAATTAAGGATATTCTTAAATCGGATGTGTCAAGCTGCAAGTCACAGACATCACAGCCTAGCTGTAAACCACAATATAACATGCCAACCGTTCTTGTAAAAGCGAAAACAGAAGAAGAAGACTACGTCACAGGATTTGTGAGTGCAGACATTTCACTATTTCCTTGGGACTGGCCCTGAAGCAGTGGTTTGCATGACACTCTCACTTAATCACAGTTTAACCCTTTCACTCAAAAATGCCCACACAAAAGAAAAGCAACAACACTCAGGACCCCCCCCCCCCCCCCACCCCAATTAAAAAAAAATCCTTCAAAAACAATCATGATTTATAGGCCTCGCTGGCTTAACCTGACTTCCTTGCGACCGGGTGACAAACTCCTTGCAGTCTGGGGTCATGCCCGGGGGTAGGCAGAAAAGCCACATTTCTCCCAGATATACTGTATTTATCATGGAATCAAGGCCAAAGGGTTGTGATATCCACAGTACCGAGCCAAAGGGTTAACAACATGATTTCAGATATCTTTTTTTTAAAAGGACTCTCAAGAGTGAAGAGGTTGATCAAATGAATGTATTTAAGCTCTTGATCTGATGGGGATGGGGGGGGGAGGGGGGGGGGGGGGGGAATTCAGTTTCTTTGCCAGCCTTGATAAAACAAACTCTGCCTCTCACACAGCCGATGAGCCCAAAGATGAACAATTAACCCTATAAACAGGGAAAAACCTTACCTTGTAAACAGCCTGCTGGATGATATGTGTCTGCTTCATCACCTCCGTCACAACAGCCTCTTCAAAAGAGTCCTCCAGCAGGCCCTGCTCTAGAGGAACTCCATTGATCAGAACCTGGGGCAAGCCACTGAGTCCAGTTTTGCGAACAAAATCATTCCCAGCCTAGAATGATGATGATGATAGATGCTAGAATTCAAAATACACCTACTAACTTCCACACCCTAAAAAAAATGTCACATTTAGAAAAGAAATTCAGTTTCTGCGTTTTTGAGGTTCTTGTCGCAGTCTATGCTGTAAAGCAATGGTAATCACATCATCACAGTTCCAGCATAATAGCAAATGGGTCATCCTATATTTGCTTCACTCCTGTGCCAATTAAAATCACAAAGAATAGCTATCACTGTTCTTTGTAAAATAAGTGACACAGACTGCAGTCTCGACAAAACCAATAGCAAACACATGCATTAAAAGCATAAGGTAATCTTGTAATCTTAGTTTCAGCTTCATAGCAAATGGGTTACCCCACAGTTGCTTCGCTCCAGAATGTCAATCGCTATTCCTTGTGGTATATATGAGAAGTACCAACATAAATACTCCGGCCCTACAATTGCAGTAGTTACTACACATTAGTAGTTGCACATGCTATAATTCGCATAAGGCACCACTAGTTCTGTGGCAACAGGCCCCTTGCCATTTTCTGAATCTGCATTTAACAATACAAACTACTTTGGGAACAGTAAAAAAAATCCCTCCAAATAAAATTTTGCAGCTTACAGTGTCGCAGCATGCACTCTAAGTAGTTGGGTACTGGAACTATATGCTTTCTGTCCACATATGAGGAAAAATACAATAGCTAACCATAGTCACAAGCAAAGAAAAACAGTTATCTTCTCCATCCACATTACTGAACTGGAACATGCTTGTAGCCAGCCTTCTGTTTCGTGGCCTGTCAATCATTTCTGACATGGATGTTCTTCCATGCTATGATGCAAAAAATTATTTTCTCTATCCGATGTCTGGCCCTCTATTCCTTGCTATCTCCTTCCATTCTCTTCTTTTTCCCTTCTGCCCATTACCCACTAATGTAACACAGGTTCTCAATTCAGACCATCATCCTATCCCTTGCTTTCATACATAGCTCACTCCCTTCCCCATCTTCTTTTTTTAGCTTCATCCTCCATGTGTTTTGGTCTGTTTTATTTCTATGGCCTTGTGGGTTCTATTGTAAAGACAATAGTTATCAGGTTTTCTCAAAGTGTGTCCTATCAAAAACCAGCATCTTTTCTTCACCTCTTGATTCAGTGAAAGTTGTTTAGTTCTCTCCCAAAGCTTCACATCAGTGATTCTATTATGTCATTTGATTGGCTCTGTTCTGCACAGGCACCAGTTCATATTTGTAGTTCAGTAGTAACTGTTTTAGTTGTTCTCCATGCTGCAACTCCCTACAGCAGCTAAGTATTTTAAGTTTGCTTCCATTTTATTCATCTTTAATTTTCGACTCCACTAGCTTTTTACTGCATCACTACATTCCTCCTGCATTTGAATTCTGAAAGAAAATGTGCCTAATTGTGCTATTAACTATTTTCTTCTTTGTTTATCCTATCAAATACCAACACACTGTAACAAGATCAGGTAAACCAAACATTATAACATGTAATACGAGATGTGTAAGAAATGCGGATGGAAAAAACAAGAAGCGATAGTCGCCAGTGCAGAGCTATAAGAATAATGGTAGGTACAGTTCTAGCAAATGATTCACAGAACATCAAAGAATCAAATGGTCTGGTTATCTGGCCAGAATAGGACAAAAGCCGCCAGCAGCTTAAGTGTACTACATTAGAACAGCAGGCTACAAGGCCGAACAAAGAAAGAGATTGGGGGGGGGGGGGGGGGGGTGTGTGTGTAAAAGAGACACTACAGAAACGCAATGACAATAACACAAGTCATGCAACTAGCAAAAGACAGAGAAGAAACTACCTATAACTTCTCTATGTGATGCTTTATGGCATAAGCAGTAGGACACAAGAAGAAGAATATAGAAATTATTATATGCAAGGCAACAGCAGCTTTTAAAGGTCTGAACAAAATGCGGAACTCAAAATTTTAAAGTTTTAAAACTAAGTCATGTATTTTTAATTCTAATGTTATTTCAGTTTTAATATATGGCAGTGGAGGGTATATGCATGGGTACAGAGGAAAAGAGGAAGTCCAAAGAGAAGATGTGTGCAGGATGTGGCGGAGTATCTCCAGATGGGTGTATCAGACGTGGGACATCTTGCTTGTGATCGTGAAGATTTCCAGAAGGTTGTAATAGGAGCAAGGTGCTGCAAAGGACAGGCTACTGACTGACTTACTAACTGAGTGGAGAATCATTAAAGACATGGAACAAAAGTTAAAAGGCATCTGAAAACAAATACCTCAGGAAAATGATGAAACATTGACTGGGATCAATCCAAGAAAGGTGAAGAAATAAAATACGAGAAGTGTCTGGACAACTGCTTGTATCTTCAGTCATAAGACAAAGAAGAATGCAATATACTGGGCACATCCTGAGGAGTTAACAAATGATTAATAAAAACTGAATCCCCAGTTAGTGCGATCAGTACCTAATATAGACAATAAGCAGAGCACACACACACACACACAAAACCGCTAGCTGTGCTGTCTCTGAAGGGTCACCAACATAAGAAGGGACTGGGTCACAAATACCAGCCTAAGAGAGAAGGTTAGAAGAATATCATGCACGAATTTTATTGAAAGACAGACAATGAAGTAGTTCGGCAGTTTGCCATCTGTAGTGAACAAACTATACTATATATAAGACCTTTGACAGCGGAACATCTGGGCGGAAGGTGTGAGGAAGACCAAAGAAGACACGGAAAGATGGTGTTGCGGAGACCTGAAGAAAACAAAAATTAACAAAGCTATTATGTGAGTCACATGAAAAGTGCAAGACAGGTATTGTGTGATGACAAAGGAAAGAAAGAAGAAAGACAAACTAGACTGAACACTAACCTTTCTGACATCATCATAGTCATTAGCATTCCCAAACACCAACTCTTTGTCCTCTCCAGGGTACTGCAAAGCAAACTCGGCAATCACAGCCTCTGCTGTTAGCTCAACACTACCCAGTTTCTCATATACCTGGGAGATAGTAAACATTTGAAGTCAGTCGGTGTTCTGCTGCACAGCTGCTGTTCCAACTAAACTAAATGTCTGTGCTGTGGATCTAAGTTAAATGTAAGCAGGACAAGTTACTTCCATGGTAAAGAATCCTTGTTGAGATAACCATCTCCTCCACAGCACATTCATGGGCAGCAGCATACTTATGGGCAGCAGCACACTCATGGGCAGCAGCATACTTATGGGCAGCAGCACACTCATGGGCAGCAGCATACTTATGGGCAGCAGCACACTCATGGGCAGCAGGACATTCAGGGGCAGCAACACATTCAGGGGCAGCAGCACATGCATGGGCAGCAGCAGCACTCATAAGCAGCAGCACTTTCACGGGCAGCAGCACTCTCATGGGCAGCAGCACTCTAATGGGCAGCATCACAATCATGGGCAGCAGCACAATCATGGGCAGCAGCACAATCATGGGCAGCAGCACAATCATGGGCAGTAGCACAATCATGGGCAGCAGCACATTTATGGGATGCAGCACTTTCATGGACAGCAGCACTCTCATAGGCTGCAGCACTCTCATGGGCTGCAGAGCAGGCAGCCACAAAAATGATGACCATATATTAGACTACATGAACATGCTTTAGAAAAATTGCAAGAGGCAGCCTCTGCTATAAATGGATGAAAAGCATTCAGAAGTTGCACTGAACATTTTTCACCTGGATCTGCACATCGGCGTACAAAAGTTACGAATGAGTGGACCAAACAGAAAGTATTGCACAAATGCATGGGCAGAGCTGATACCATCAACAGTGAAGAGGTTCAACTGGCACTTGATGAATCTCTGATGCTAACATTATTACATGACCCAGGAGTAAAGCCTCCTGAAGCATATGGATGCCGCCTTCGAGGTCAAGACAGAAGACATTATAATCAACTTCTTATGGGAATAATCACAGAGGTACCCTGGGATGGCACCAGCATTGGTGAACTGGGCAAACATGTGAATGCTCAATGTGCTGTGGCTTCGAATGAGATAACATAAAGAACGCTTTCTTGCCATCAGCGCATTAGGCTTATGATGAGAGGCAACAAACAAAATCAAACACAGAGCATGGGTATCTTCTTTCTCTGTGTTGCCCTTCAAAGGTTGGTTGGTACATTGTGTTGTGGTTTACAGCTCAACATCATCATGTAGCAGCTCCTTTGCAGAACATCAAAGTCTGCATGGAAAAAAAACTTCGGTCTCTCACCAGCTCTCCCGCCTCGTGCATTTTCACATTCAAGAAGTCACTTATATCCTATGCCCATCTTCATGCTGGTTGGTCCTTGCCCCTCTTTCCTGGTACCATACCTTCCACAATTATTTTTTCCAATCCGACATAGCGCTTGATATGACCAAAATATTTCAGCTTCCAAGACAAGATGCTGTTTATTAGCCAATCTTCCTTGATGTTCAGATGTTTTACAATGTCAGTATTTCTTCTCTTCTTTGTCCATGGTACTCTGATAATCTTTCTACAGCATTTCAGCTCAACAGCACCGATTTTCTTTCCTAAACAACTGGAAGATAGTCCATGACTCATATCCATATACTTCTACTGGGAAGATGCATGCTCTTAACATTTGAATTTGGATTTCCTTGCGGGTGCTTAACCATAGACTTTTAATGCTGTTTAGCGTTTTACAGCTAGGCTGTGATATTTTGACCCAATACACATGATTTCAACAAATTCCCAATTACAGTCCTGTTATAGCATGCTTGTTAACAAGCACTGATATGTGCACCTCTAGGCCCAACATATCCGACTTCAACAAATCCATAAGTAGTCTCCTGTTTCAGTAAGCAGCGGGTCTAATCTTTTCTTCCTCCAAAAATGGCGACCCCAGAACCCATATGGGAGGGTGGGGCATGGGTATACAAATAAATGACCACACCAAAGACCACTTACATCAGTGATGAAAGACAAGCCCTTGGCGGCATCCTGATCAATCATAATGAAGTTGAAAGCTCGTACCAAAGCCACCCCAGGATCGGTGAGTCCGGTGACATTTGGGTCAGAGTTCACAGAAAATACAACGCCAAGTCTGTGGTTTTGCAAAGAGTTTGAACATGAGTACACATTAACATCCGATCTCATTAAACTGAAAGACAGACAGACAGGTCAGTTAGATTGATAGACAGACAGATTAGACAGACATATTAAAGAGACAGAGAGGCAGGTAGACATACAGATAACATACATATATACAGATAGATAAGGACAGAAAGACATATTATACAGACAGATTAAATAGACAGACATACATACAGATAGATAGGCAGGTGCCTGCACAGAACAGAGGGAATTAAATGGTATGATAGAATCATTAATGTAGAGCTTTGGGAGAGAACTAAATGAGTTCCAGTGAACCAAGAGGTGAAGAAAAGACGCTGGCATTGAAAAGGACACATGCTAAGAAAACAGGAGAACAATATAACTAGAATGTCTTTGCACTGGAACCCACAAGGGCATAGAAATAAAGAAAGACCCAAAAAAAAAACGCATGGAGAAAGAAGCTAAGAGAGTGAAGTAAACAAATGGGGGGGGGGGGGGGGGGGGGGGGGGGGGGGGGGGGGGGGGGGGGGTGGGGGGGGGGGGGGGGGGGGGGGGGGGGGGGGGCATGAGGAGAGCTGCATGTGATAGTGAAGAAAAGAGCGACTTGGAATGAGTTGGTTGAGGGCCTATGCTCCACTGAGGGCTGGAAAGGCAGAAGAAGAATGCTGTAAGTACGGTTCCTCATAAACAAGCCTCGATAGCAAGGAGGAAATAGGGGAATTTACAGGGACATGGTTTTTGTGCCTTTTGGGGCTAGTTGGCAAAGGGTATCTCTGTAACTGTACTAACTAAAAAAATGAAGTGAACATGACACCATAGCTCTACAATACCTTAGTGGTGCCTTGTGTACAAGGAAGGCTTCAGCCATTTTAAGAAGACTTTTGCTGGCACTTGCTGTTGGGTCGACCACAAAAACCTGAAATTAAAGAGGAGCGTTTCCCCAATGTTTACAATGACACCAGCAAAAGCTGCACAACTATCTGTAAACCATATACCACATAAAGCCGCAGAAAACATCACCAAAAATACCAGAAGTCACATATAACATCATAAAAAGGTAACTAATTAGGGGTGTTTAAACTCATTTTTCCACTTGCACGGGAGGCGAGGAACCAAAAGTCGGCATATAAATAAGCCAATTCTGTAAAAGGGATAAGCACAGATTTTAAGGCGTCATCCGTAGCGCATCTGACTCGTAATTCCAACATACCATGATCGAAACCCACTGCTGGCTGCGTGGATTTTTATCATGGTATAAAGCATCGCAGGTTGACCCAGCCTAAAATGGGTACCAGGATGTGTGTCCTGGAAACGTAAAGACGACCGGCGTAATGCTGACCACATTACCCACCTAGTGCCGATTGGTCTGTAAAAATATGGGTGGCTTTCCCATATGCCCGATACACCTAAAGGCGTGAAAGGGGATCTTTACTTTTACTTTACTTACAATACTGAATCTCCCAGGTTGACGCGGCATAAAATGGGTACCAGGATGTATGTCCTGGGGAAGTAAAGACGGCCGGCGTAATGCTGACCACATTACCCACCTAGTGCCGATTGGTCTGTAAAAATATGGGTGGTCTTCCCATATGCCCGATGTGCCTAAAGGCGTGAAAGGGGATCTTAACTTTTACTTACTTACAAATTCTAGAACAAGACCAAAGTCTAGAAGTGGATGAACAAGTAGCAAGCAATACCCACCAGTTTACAACTGGTGAACACAAAGAAGAAGGAGAAGACAAATGGCAGCTCTTATATGTTCATAAATAACTTAGAGTGTATGGAGGAAGACAAGCAGAAAAGTAGGTTTGGGGAGAAAAGGGAAATAAACAAGAGTTACATGTAATACAGACAGGTTAAGAAGTTATGAGATGAAAGAGAAATGACAAAGATACTGAGAGATGGAAACACAGAGAAGTAAGACGAGAAAGATGAAGAGAGGTTTGAGTTCACAGAAATGCAATGAGAGAGAACAGAGAAAAGAGAAGGAGAACGCATGAGAGACAGAAAAATGATGAGCAAAGAAAACGGAGACAAAGTGAGAAAAATTAATAGATGACAATGAAAGGCACAGAGAATAAGAAAAGGGGCATAGTGGGAGCTATACAGTTTACATTTTTATCAATTCTCTTTATGGCTAGTGGCACAGGAGGCTTCAGAGAAGACATTTTGGGATAAGTAATAAGTATACAGAAAAGTTAATCGTGAGAGAGAGAGAGAGAGAGAGAGAGAGAGAGAGAGAGAGAGAGAGAGAGAGAGAGAGAGAGAGAGAGAGAGAGAGAGAGAGAGAGAGAGAGAGAGAGAGAGAGAGAGAGAGAGAGAGAGAGAGAAATAATTAAGGATAAAAGTTAAATACAGAGGTCAGGAAGAGTTAAACACAGAGGTCAGGGAGAGAGAGACAGACTACAGAAGCTAGATGAACAGAGTCTCATTCTCATCCATGAGATGTAAATCCTACAGACCACAATTGTGGAGGGGAATTTTTGTTTTGTTTCTGCAGAGAGAGCCATACAGGATAAATCTTAGTGCAGAGAAGCCGCTTAGATGATGATGATGGTGATGTTCAACCCCACCAGGACATCACACTGAGTGACAAACACCCGCTGACACAAAGTGCCACCATTCAGATGAGGATCACATGGGGACAGGTCCCAGAAAAACCTGTTCAACCCACAGGTTGGGTTACATTAGGGCCACCGGCAACAGCTAAGATGGGGCTTTAATACAACAAAATTGCATCCCACATTGGGACACACACTTTGTATTAACTAAAGCTCATATTCCCAGCTTGAAACCTTTATAATGCAACCAGCTACCATCCATCTGTAGGGATAACATACTTCAGCAACAAATACAGAGCCGGAAATGGCACTGGGGACTTCACACCATCAATACTGACCAAGTGGAAGATATTCTTGGCAATGTGCCTCAGCATCCCAGGGAAAGTTGGTCGTAGCAGGTCTTGAACAGAATTTGGCCAGGACGAATACTTCCTTTCTGTGCTCAGATCATTGAAGTACTGAAAAAAAAATAAAACAATTGGTCATGAGAGTTTTAAATAGTAGCAAATAAACTGTCGGTACGTTTTCATCTTTCCAGATGATAGTGTTATAGAGATAGTATTGTAGAGACCATTTGTTGCCCATGCAGCATGATACCTCAGTGCCTTGTTTATTCCAAAGAAAGGGTAACACCAATACATTAGGAACGAGCATGCTGCAGAAGCTACCAATTCAGAAGAACAGTGCTCTCGTAAGTTAATCAAAGGAACTCTTAGGTCAGCAGCACATCCAACATATGGTGACAGACCTATATTTTAACAGCCCGTCGTAGTCAAAGTCGAGGTTTCTACTTCACTTCAATCTGGTCAGCCCATAGCCAGTGAAAATCAAATGACATGCCCCTCACTTTCTCATATGATAAAAACTGGTGAACAAACAATTAGTCCTGTCACAATCCAGAAATATGCGCACGCACATGGCAAATGCATAAGGCAGTTACTAGAGGCTCCAAAGCCAACAGGCAAATGAGTCCTCAAGGGGTGAAATGGTGAACATCCCGCTAGCTGCCATTAATTTCCAGGAAATTTCCTAGGACACATTTTTGGCTGTCTACTCGTGAGCCAAGGAAAAACCACCATAGAGCAGATTTGATCCCAAGACCTTTGGGCTAACAGGCAAGAGTCTACTCACTGTGTTACTGCTGCTCCCAGAATACTGTACTTTTTCTTCTTGTACATTCACCCTTGTAAGGGCAGTAGGCAGACTGTGTTGTGGTTTAAAGCTGTACTAAGATATTTGCACCTCTTGGCCCAACACAGCCGATTGCAGGAAGTCCTGGATTAGTTGCTGATTATGACATGCTTGTTAAGGAGTCAAAAAAAACTAAAAATAATTGCCAATTACTGGCTATATTTACCACTGTTGCTGTGTATAAAAAAAAAGGGGTGGGGGGAGCAGGGTCTTTAAGCCTGGAGATCTAGGACAAAAGAAGACAGATCTAAACATAGCAAGACATCTGAGTTTAAATATCTGGGAACTACATTTACCGAAGATGGGAAATTGGATAAAGAAATTAACATTAGATGCAGTAAAGCAAATCAAGTATTGGGACAGCTAGCCCCCCTCTTACAGCATAAGACAATCCCAATCAGCACAAAGAGACATCTTATTCAAAGCATATTTATTCCAACTCTGTGCTACCAGTGCCAGACATGGTCACTCACAACAAACCATAAAAGAAAATTAGTAACCATGGAGATGAGATGTCTGAGAAGGGCTGTAGGAGTGACCACAAGAGATAAGATCAGGAATGAGATCATAAGAGAAAAAGTCGGCACAGAACCAATTCTAAATTACATATGAAAACGGCAGGTGAAATGGTTTGCCCACTTAGAGAGAATGCCTTGTGACACCATACCATATAAAGCATACATGGAAAGAGAAGAAGGACGTAGAGCACGAGATATACCAAGAACAAGATGGAAGGATAACATCAGAGAAACTCTACAACAGCACGATGTGCCTATGGTCGAAGCGGCCAGAAGAGCTAGAGACAGAACCCTATATATCCCTTGACACCCACAGCGGTAAAAGAGGAAGTGAAGAAGAAGAAGAAGAAGAAGAAGAAGAAAAAGAAGAAGAAGAAGAAGAAGAAGAAGAAGAAGATTTAGGACCACATGACCAGAGCTGTCACCACCAACTTTGCAGGTTGGGATTTTTATTTCCTCCTGACAGTTGTTGAGGAAAAATATGTCTATCCATTTTCTCCCTCTCAAATGGATGCCAAGGGAGCCCAAATGTGGACAGTGCTGTACTACTGGGCTAATTGTGAAGTAAAGGACCTTTCTCTATGTAACTCATAGCACTGAGTACATGTAGCTTTGCAATTACTATTTATCTTTTGAGATGAAATTTTTCTCATACTGTCTTTTTTTTTTTTGCTTCTACCACAGCATCCCCCAGCTGTCCATTCTTATCAGGACAAAATTTTTCGTTATTTGAAGCCCCACCCTGGCTTTTGCCAGGGGCCGCAATATAGGCAGGCCATAGAATGGCCAATTGTCTGAACGCGGTTTCTGGGACCTCTCCACGGCGATCCTCATCCGCATGGTGGCACTTTGTGTCATCGGGTGTTTATCGCTTGTGTGATGTCCTGGTGGGGTAGAAAGTCAGTCAGTCAGTCAGCTGTCCACTACAGGGAAGAGTCCTGACTCTTCATCTGTCTGGAATTTGATCTCATTCGCTTGCTCCTTCATTCATTCTTGTTCCTAAACTTCACTGTTAAGTGAACATCCATCAGCGCATCTGGCTCATTGTCTGCAGACTGATGGCTCCTTGCCTCTCAAGCAGCTGTGCTCCGACTTCAAATGAATTATTTGATTCTATATATACCAGGGCTATTCACTGGCCATCTGCTGCCCAAATTTGGCCTACAGAGGCCTAGCAAGAAGCCTGCAGATTACATGCTAATTATACTGTCTTAATGATCTTTCTATGCCCCCCACCCCTTCCCCACCCACCCTGTCTATGATGACCAAGTAAAAGTGCAGGTAAGTGCTGACCAGTTCAAGTCTTGGTCCTGGTGCACATCTGCATCCCCCACTGTTGTCTTAAGAATCTTTCCAAAATATAATAATATGTTAGTAACAGTAACAAATGCGCAACAAAATTATTTACTTTTACTGCTGAATGTCGGATGTCAACAGCATATTTGGCATCTTCTGAAGCAACCAAGTCTAGCTGCAAAAACTTCTGCAGATCAGCTCCCTGGAAACAACAACAACAGGGCAACTGATTACATGTCAGTACAAACAAAAGGCAGTCACATTTTGGTTCATCATAAAAATGTTACTAGAAAACAATTTACAGGAGCAGCAGTATTACAATGGTTAGATGCTTGCGTGCCAGTCTGAACCACTTACCCATATAGTTACCATACTGTACAGCTTTGCTGAGACATCATCATCATCCCGCATCACTGCGTGTCACTGGGCCACCATTGGTGTTGACTGTCTGATCAGTTCTCTTTACCTTTGACGGTCAGACGTGGTTGCAAGCCTAAGGCCTGTCCATTCAGCCAACTTCTGTATCCAGGTCTTTCTTGGTCTGCCTCTTCTCCTCTTCCCCTTTACTTAATCCTGTAGTATTAATTCTGAGAGGCTGTGCGTACCTGGCATTGTCAACCTTTTCACTGCAGTTAAAACAGGTTCACAGCTGCCGATTTGCTCAGACGTGCTTAGCCATTCAAAACTTCTGGCCAAAAGAGACACTGTTGGAAGTCAAACTTAACAAGTTTAGGGGTTGAGAATCGACAGACAGAAATGACCACGATTAGGGCACAAAACCCATAAACACCACGTGATACATGTTATGTAAATGAGCCCACATAAAAAATTAGCTTGTGGTCATTCAGGAAAGCAAGCAACACGGTGGAAGATGGACGTGATGTGTTTCGGCACCCATATAATGCAGCAGATATAATCTGCTGGTAGATAATGTCAAGTGTTAGAGTCAGCTAATAAGTTGAGTTATTTAGAATGAGGTAGCAATTGTGACGTTACGGCCCACTTCCTTGGAACTTACAACACTTTTGTGTGACGTCCCAGTCGTGGGTTCTCTGGATTTGGGTTTAAATGATTTATATGTTGAGTAGGGATTTTTCTCTCAACACATCCCCTCCACCAGATTAACTGAACTAATATCCGGGCTATGTTGCTCTCAGACAAAGTCCTGGATATCCAAGAAAACAGCCATATTGGCTCGTTATTTATATTTAACTTTAGCTGAACTTGGTACCCACAAGAGAAGGAAATGGGTTTTAGATGTCTATATATTATTATCTTGAATTATTTACTAGACAGGGCAGTTGACCCAATCCGTCGACCTTCTCTTGGTACAGAATTATTATTATTATTTAATGAGCCCCCACCAAATGCTATTCTATCTTAACAGTTTAATTAAACATGTAAGAACAGACACACTTGGAATTATAAAAACTGATGCAGGATAAGACCATATACTTGATTTATTATCCTAACATTCATTTTAGTTCTTTATATTTTTAGTCAATAGTGATGGTATGGTGGTAATAGGATACTTCAGCTTGATAACTGAGCCCCTAAGATAAGAGTAAATGATAATGGTGGTGTTTAGTTACATAAATACATGTTACATAACTTTAGAAAGTGGAACCTCTGAGAGTCCTCGTGTTGAGTCCCTTCTTAGCTGTTCCAATCTTTCCGCCCAGTTCTCCTGGTCCTTCCACCTGGTTCCCTGGTTCCCACCTGTTTCCAAGCTGGCCGAGTTCTAGCACAATGTAGTCTCGTGACCGTGATGACCCTCTATTTCTGTTCTTAGAAACGACTGATCCTCACCCACATGGGAGCTGGAAACTTCCAGCAATCGCCAAACTAGAATCAAACCATTAGATTTACCTCTAAGGTCGACCTGTTTGTTGCCTGTGGCAGCGATTATGACAGAAATTCCAGGGCTTGTCTTATTAATACCTCTATCTGTCTGCAAGGGTAAACTCCACCCTCTACTAGGTTCTACCCAACCCTCAAGGAGATGACTTAAGCCCAGCCTCTGAGGTACCTAGCAGATCAACTTAGCTATCAATGGGCCTGTCACTCACAGTGAACGGCCTACAGTACGACCTTGACCAAGATTAAACATTCCTAATTGCCAGACATCTGTTCTCTGGAGAATTTCACTATCATGTGTGAAAACTTCAGATGCTGGATGCCGGCCTGTCTAGAAATGTCTACCAGACCACTTAATTCCCCTGATCTATCCTGTTCAAAAGGAGCCCCTCAGTCTGTGTTATGTAACTTTTTATGACACTACGGTCGGATTCAGGGGAGCTAATCTTCAGGTGTGATACGAAGTTATCTCCCCCTATACTTGCCTCTACAGACTGGGCAGGAGATAATAATATGACATGGGCATGAGAAAGGAATTCCTAGCCAAGGTAATATTACCTAAAGCAAGGTTGCTTTGTCTGGCTAGAGATTGGAAA